CATATCTCCGGATTTGTGTAACTGCCTCGGTTGGGCATGCTTCATACATGGCTTGTATACATTTACCTGACTACATCGCTACATAACGTCTTTGGGATAAACCTTGTTTTAGTTCACACATGTTATTGGTTGACAGCATGAAACAAGGTCACTGTTTGCGAACACGGTGTCCTCCACCTTGTTTCATGCTATCAACCAACAACATAACGTCTTTACGTAGCAATTACAGTATAGTATGTGGCCAGGTAAATGTACAATCATGTGTACAGTGTAGCATTAGTGCTAAAGCTTAGGGTGCGTTCTTATATTCTCTAGCTTCTAGAAGAAGAAGAAAAGAGAAGTCGAAGAAACTGGGATTACTCAAGAACGGGTCTCGAAGAATTCGGAGATATTTTGCACATGTCAAGCAAAATGAAGCGTCAAAGGGGCCGCGATCTTGAGTGATGAATGTATGTGCGTATGCGAAAAGGGAAATGCGTACACTTATGATGAACACGTGGCTTTTAGTCGTAGTTCGCATGCGCTGATCCCAAACCGCGGGAATCTCCAAGTTTCAACCACCTCTGAAGCTTGGAGAGCTTGGAGAGCTTTGGAGAGCCTCCTAAAAGTCGGAGAGGATATAAGAACAGCTCTCGAACTTTTCGGAGAGTCTCCAACTTTTCCGAGAGGATTTAAGAACGCACCCTAAGTATTCAACCGGTGTTACTTGTACGTGCCTACGTGTCTACAGTCATGTGCCAGTACAAATACATGTAATACTACAAAATAGTACAATGCATTGCACCTCGTGATGATGACGGTAGCTGATTGTTGCCAAAACCCTGGGATTTCCCTATAATTATTATTCACTATGAAACTCGTTATGCCGCTCAAACCTCACAATCATAATGCTCTTTTTGTTCCTTTCTAATGCTCTGATGCGCGAACAGTCTCAAGTTATAATGCCGAATACTGGATCATGGACCCTACACTACAATTGTAGTACAGTAGACCGTAGGCGTAGTAGGCCTAGGCCTAGGCCTACTGTAGCAGGGAGTCGTATACCCGGGTATATACGACTCCCTGCTACTAGTACATGGTAGATTATTATAACCTAACACTGGATCAACAACGAAGTGATTTACAAACATAAGTAGTTGACGTGACCAACGTGTAGACGGGGTGTTCCGACGTGGTGAAGGCCTGGGCCATGGCCACATCGGGACATCACCAACCCTGTCTACAGTACAGAGAGCACCTTCTCGCGACAGTGTCATGGTGATGACAAAAAACTGTTGACAGCTGACGAGCTGAGAGAAGGACGCCATGGGCAGAAGTTGGAAGAAAAAGAAGTTTTTTTTTATACAAGTTGAGGTTTCAGTGGCCGCATGACCACCAGGAAAGAAAGGAGCGAAGAATACAAGACGGACGTCAGGAGTAGTCTCCTACCCCCCTAGCATAATGAGGGTCAGAACCGGGTGCGACAACCATAATTATGGTTCAGATGGTCCGCAGTGACCGGGGCTCTGCCAACCGCGGAAGGTTGTAGTGTATGAAAAGATTCATCCCCTCTAAAATTCTGAAAACCTGAGCATCAGATCCTCCATGGTGGACCCCTGAGTGCACTGCTGCCACAGTGAGGAAACGACGTGCATGGAGGTGCCTGAGAGACGACCAGTCTGACAACGATCGGCAATCAGCCTACCAAGATGCACGGCTCTCAACGATTGCCCATCTCAAAACTGCCAAGAGTCCTTTCATGGCGAAACTGAGACAGAAAAGACCTCAAAGCAGCTGCCACCCAGTGACTGGTGGCGCACCGTCAAGCGTGCCTCTGGCAATGGGCGCAGTCAATCTGTTCCGACATTACGTGATCCCGATGGACGTGCGTACACAGCCAGCGCAGACAATGCAGAATGCATGGCCCGCTATTTTGCAAGCAAATGCAGTCTCGGCCAAGATGACCTGTCAGCCCCATTCCCATATGTCAAACCTCGAACTGACCAGGCTCTTTCGGACGTCCGTTTCCGCGCCGCTGCTGTAGAACGCACCCTTCGCCAGCTCAACCCATCAAAGGCAACCGGGCCGGATAGGATACTGGCACGAGTGTTGAGAACCTGCTCTGCTGAACTGGCGCAACCGCTTTCCATACTGTTCACCCAATGCTTCCAAACTGGGATACAGCCCAAGACATGGAAGATTGCCAACATAGTCCCTATATTCAAACGGAAATCAAAGTCTCTACCCTCCAATTTCCGCCCAGTTTCGCTCTTGTGGATTCTGTCCAAGGTGATGGAGACAATCATCAACAGAACAATCACAAATTTCCTCGAGTCGAACAACGTCTTCTCCACCAGACAGTTTGGATTTCGCCATGGTCATAGTGCAGCCGACCTCCTTACCAGCCTCCACCACCAGTGGCTGCATACAGCCGGGGAGAAAGGCGCAGCACGCATACTCACCATTGACATCGCCGGTGCGTTTGATCGCGTATCACACCCCGGTGTGCTACACAAGTCCGACGTATACGGCCTGCGTGGGCAACTGCACCAGTGGCTCAGCAGCTACCTCAGTGAACGCTACCTTCAAGTGGTCATTTGTGGCCAGACATCCTCAAGGCTCCCAATTCAGGCTGGAGTCCCCCAGGGCAGTATTCTGGGTCCGACTCTCTTCCTCATGTACGTGAACGACTGCGAGGACCACGTACCAGCCGGTGCTGACCTAGCCTCGTTCGCAGACGACACTACGCTGTATGCCAACATCACCCCCACCACCCAAGAAGATACCTGCCAAGCCCTCCAGCTAGCAGTCAACAACATCTCCCGCTGGGGTCAAGAATAGACTAAAATTTGAACCAGCCAAATCCCAGGCACTGACTGTCAGCTTCCACCGCACCCAATGGGACATGCCACAGATTGACTTCAACGGATCAAATGTGACGGAACAAGAGGAGCTCAACATCTTGGGCATCAGTTTCGATGGTCAGCTTACCTTCCGGCGCCACCTTCGTACCGTAGCCCTCCGGGCAACACAGCGACTTGGCGCTTTGCGTAAGGCTTTCCACCTCCTAGACGTGCCCGGTCGCATCCAAGCCTACAATGCTTTTGTGCGCCCAGTGATGGAGTACTGCCCTATTGTCTGGATGGGAGCGGTCCCATCCCATCTTGCAAGACTCGACCGTGTGCAAGCCCGGGCCATCCGTGCCATCGCCCCAATGTGTTGGCTGCCGAGTCTTGCTCTTCGTCGGATGGTTGCAGCACTTTGCCTCCTGTACAAGATGCATTGTCCGGATGCGCATCCCCTTCTACAGGGGATGCTGCCACCCCAGCAGCCCCAACACCGAACAGTCCACTCCACCCGTAGTACATTCCAGAGATGCAATGCTCACGCACACCAACTGGCCAATGAACTTCCAGTCCGTTCCCGAAACAACCTGTGTCGAGCCTACCCTCACGCAGTTGTCCCCGTCTGGAACCAGCTGCCCACCGAAGTCTTCTCTGGTCCTTTCTGCACCAAGAACTTGCAACACTTCAAAGTTGCAGCCAACCGCTATTTGAAGACCAACGACTGGTCATGGGCACATGACCATCTCTAATTATCAGCATCGTATCTGCCTCACCCCATGGCTTCCAAATTCCGCTCCACATACTATTCCCAATAACGTCTGTTCTTCTTTTCTCTCCTTCTCCTCCTAGCACTGTCTGTCTTATCCTTCCCCTCCTTCTAATGTACTGTCTCGCCTCCTAACATTTCCGTCATGTACCTGTCACTCCTTTCATTTTTTCTTTTCTTTTTCTGGTGCGTTTTATGTCCCCTTGACGTCGAGACCTCAGGTCGACTGAGGGCAAAAAGCCTCACCATCACTATGCTCCCACTATGCAATTTTTTGTCTTTGCCTGTGAGCTGTGATCATTGTACTTCGAAGTAAAAAAAAAAAAGTAAGGTATTTTGTATTGTATTGTATTTATTTAAAAGGATTCTCCAAAAGCAAATGGATGCTTATCACGGAAGTCTCCCACATAAATATCGCAAGAAAAATGGGGAAATGGGGGAGAGGAGAGTGGAAGATGAAGCATGGGAAGAAGGGAAACAAGTACCTAAATATCGAGGTATAAAAGCAGGAGAGAAATCGACGAGGGAAGAAATCACCTCAGCAGATAATAGCGAGACATTTAGATGAAAAAAACCCAGCAAGGATTAATTTCAAGGAAAAAAAAATTTCTCAAACGGAAAAGTTCGGAATTCCAGTCAGGTCACTCACACTGTGCTTTTTTTACTATGGCCACAGCTTCCAATCATGACATGCAAAGCAGCGGTGCAGAATCTCAGGCATGAATCGTGGACGTGGTGACGGGGTCTGATGTGCTCCACCGACCTAGGTACGGGTCTCGGCTTCACTGCACAGCAAAAGTTTCCGAACACAGTGTCCTCCACCTTGTTTCATGCTGTCAATCTAACAAAAATATTAATGGTAGATCCAGGGAGTCGTAAAATACCGGTATTTTACGACTCTCTGGGTAGATCTACTACATGCATGGTGTCATGTCAGTGAACGGTCAAAATGGTGGCACAAAATGGCGATAAATGCCACTACATGTACACCAGGCCGGCCGGATATCGGAGTCGACGTTTTTTTTTTGGTTCACTTTTTTTAGTCATGGAGACTGGATTCTTTGCAGTACAAATCAATGACTATACTACTAGTATAGTACTAGTATGACTGAATATTACATGACTGTACAGTGTACTGTAGTCTGTAGTCTGTAGTCTGTAGTGTAGGCGCATTGTCAGCATCACCATGATCACCATCAATCATGATCACCGTCGCGAGACGCGGCCGGCAGTGTAGCTTAGTAGCTAAGTGTGTGAACAATACTCTCAACATTTCGAGGTCATAATCAGGATCACGCCTCCAGTCTCCACGTACTGGTCCAGTCCACGTCTGTTGCGTAACGGTCGACGGTCATCGTCGATGTTTTACCGTGATGAAATCAGTTGTGCACGGTTTGTAGAGAAGTATAATTACTATAAACGACATAAATTATTATCGACCGCTAGTCTGTTGATTGTAAATCGCCCGGATACTAGTAGTAGACCTACGTTTGATTCTCGTTTTTCTGAACACACCACCGTAGGGGAAGCTAGCAAGCAAGGATAGTTATCGAAGTGTCTAGTAGTAGAGCTACTAGAGGTTGAAAGTTGGTTTTTGATTGGCAATCTCTCTGCACCTGTGACTGCTTGCGACTGAAGAATCTTGGTGTAGTGAACGTGAGTGCCTAAATCTTGCGATGGCAAGTGCACTGTTCAACTATCGCTACTATAGCGATGAGTTCATGGACGGGCTCAAATCATACAAGGTCAGTTCTCGATGGTGTTTTCAGCGACGTTTGTACTGAACGACCTGTGTAATATTAATTGTAAAATTAAATAATAATAGACTTAGTCGGAGGGAAACATATTAGCACACAAAGAGACGAAGCCAGTTGAAAATCTGATGAGACCTTTCGTACCATTACTTCTCCAATCAGTACAGTCATGGTGATAGTGTGACGAAGCACAACGATGTCAATTTATACAGCATATTGGCGGAAAATTGTAATGAAAACGTACACAGGCTGCATGATGGTCTGAGTTGCGCCAAAGAGCTAGTACAAGAACTATAACAAAAAGGTAGGCAGTCAAAATAGCACTAGCTTCCAACAAACTCCTATTGTGCTATCATTTTCTCAGCTGATGGGTTGTGTGAATCACGCTGGTTGGGTTCACACTTACTCGGGATAGTGTTCGTCAGCACTACCTGATCCACTGAAACAAAACCAACAAAAAAACAGAAGGCAATGGCAACAGTCCTGTCAAAGCCAAAAATCGCCCCTTCAACCAGCATACAGCGTGTCGACTCCAGGAATGGAGCGCCCAAGAAGGTGCAGACAACAACCAGAGTTCGCCGCAGTACTCGCTAGTACAACAGCGCCAAATAGCACGGACACCGACCAGGAGCCCAGCTGATCAGATAGCACTGACTAACACTATCCCGAGTAGGTGTGAACCCAACCAGCGTGTTTCACACAACCCATCAGCTGAGAAAAATGATAGTGCAATAACTAAACATCTTACCATATTCCCTGGTTGCCTGAATGCAGTATGTAAGAATATTCCAGAGCGCTTCAAGCTTCACGCGCGGGCGCGCACATAAAACTGTCTGAGCCAACCACGCAAGCGACCTTCACAATGGGGTCCCTGCGTACAGATGGTCTTGTTACCCAGGGTCGTTTGACTGGAAGTAACATCCCTTGGTCCTGGTAGTGCAGTGGTCCTCTGGGACAGGTGTTTGCCTTATCAGAGTGGTCAGAGCGGTCAGAGCGGTCAGAGCGGTCAGAGTGGTCAGAGCGGTCAGAGCGGTCAGAGCGGTCAGAGCGGTCGCCTTCACATGTTTTACTCTATACTGGCTGCTAGAGGGTAACAGGAATGTGCAAACTGTCGCATGAAATTTATCAGTAGCTCTTTCGCTACTTGTATTGGCTGGTCTCTGCTCCAGGGAAAATTGTCTTTTCATTACCCAATCAAAGCGAAGTAAAACTGGTACTGCATGTAGTATTCATAGTGAGTGTCTTGGAGTGTACAGCTTTCTTCCAATTTTTATTGCACTACATGTATTGAAACTATCCTTTCAGATCAATCAGTATAAAATGGATGGATGGTTGTTTGAAATCCTTTGTACAGTATGCTTTGCTGACCGGACCAAGTTCATCGAGTAGACTTGGTTTCATGTGCATCTGTTCGTCTCAGCAGGACGTGAAGCTGTCTGCAATTATTATTATTATTACGCACACACTCATGGCCAAGGCCAATCAAGGAGGAGGTGAGGGCGATTATAGCCAGCCATGGCAATGCATGGCAGTATCACCTTGTTTTTCACAGTGAACTGTTGGGTGTAACCCTGTAAGTTGAGAACCGCACATTATATTGTTGTGTGACTTTCTGTGTGTTCCTGTCTGGAATTCAGTATAGCTCCGTCGATACGTCACCCCTAGCTAAGTATGTGATGAAGCCTTGGTGGGGAACTTTCCTACATGTAAGTACCAAGGAATCAGGCTAACATTTTCAATCGAGACAGATGCTCTCTTCTTTGTTTTTGTCCAGTTGTGTCTGATAAACTAGCTGAACACAGGGACCTCCAGGTGTATGTACTGCGCGGTGCATGTCATTGGTCAGCACTCGGGCTGTATAGAATTCGCTTAGCATAGTGACAGTATTAGCAGTGGTGCACTTATTTGCATCAACAGCCCATCCAGTCTCAACTCTGTTGTGTCCTCTGCAGTACTTTGTACCAATGAATGTATCGGCCAACTCGATGACGTTCTGGGGCTTCATGATCGGTCTCAGCCACTTAATCCTCCTGACCTACTACGACCCAGCTGTCACCGTTATCCAGCCGCTCATGATCAATGTCTCTGTTCCATCCTGGGTCTGGCTGTACGGTGCTGTAGCTCATTTCCTTGCGCATACACTGGACGGGTCAGATGGTATGCAAGCAAGACGGACTGGTACTAGCTCTCCCTTAGGTATGGCAGTGTGCGGTGTGCGGATCTGTGAATGCACGAGATCATTTCAGTGTGAGGTTCACTGTTGCGTATTTCTACACAGCTGTTCGGAGCTATTTCAGAGACATATATGGGCCACAACCAGCTGAAACATGTCTTAGAGTGAAATTTTTCAAATTTTGTTTTCCTCCAGAAAACAGTTCTTGGGACCTTACTTGACCTCTTGAAGGTGATACAGGGCAGAAAAATAGTCTACAAGTGCCCCAAACACCGCTTTCAAAATATGTACTTTGAAATAGAAAATGACAGTTTTCGCACAGTCTGACACAAAGAGACAAACTATCACTTAGTGGCTTTTGTGGCGGAGCACAATACAACGGAACTAAAGATGTTGACACCGACTTGAGCATGTCAACGACATTAGTTCAAAGGCATGGCCCAAGTTCTTCCTGGAAAGCAACACGATGCTCTGGGCGGCGTTGCACTTGCATGCTTTTTCGATTCTGGCAGTGACACTTTCGATCGTCGCCTGCGTTTCCGAGACTGCGTCAGACGACTCATGAGAGCTGAACGCAAGTAACGTCGTAAGGCAGCCGGTTCGCCGCCTAATGATTATGTACTAGCCCACAACTTGTGTCTCTTTGCTACTGGAGATGACGGGGACGATTCAGCTTCGTTGTCGATATCAACATCACTGAGATCCCAACAAATTGTCAGCGTCGCTCTGCAGACCCGCCGCCACTGACTTGCAGACACCTGAACAAACCTGGGCCATGCACAGAGATCGTCTGGCCCTGCGAGCTGCTCTAGTATCACTAGATGCGGACATTGTCAGTCTTTGCTCGCCAGCTACTTGAACTAGACCGCCAAACAAGTGTTTGAACAAAATTTGAGAAGATGATCGCCACAATCATCATGGATCATTTGAATGAAGTGCAGAGTGAACACGCTCCAAAAAAACATTTTTTTCATTTCGTCATTTCCCAACTTTTTTACGAAACCCCAAAGACATGTTTTAGCTGATCGCGGCCCATATCAAGAATGGCGTACTAATGCAGCCGCTTTCCAGCACGTAAATACCACATAAGTCAGTGTGTGTGTGTGTGTGTGTGTGTGTGTGTGTGTGTGTGTGTGTGTGTGTGTGTGTGTGTGTGCACGCTTCTTGCTGCTCAGGGGAGCTAATGGACCATGGCCTGGACAGTTTGTCGGTATCTGCCATCGTGCTCAGCATTCCGTCGATGTTCGCCAACCACCCGCCGTCACAGTCACCTCCGTACGAGCTCTTCACTCTGTTCTTCGTCACCGTACTGGGATTCTACATGAGCCACTGGGAGAAATATTTGACTGGCGTGTTGTACTTACCATGGACCTATGATGCCAGCATGCTGGTGAGTATATTTGACTGGCGTGTTGTACTTACCATGGACCTATGATGCCAGCATGCTGGTGAGTTGTGAGAATCGTGTGTTCTTGAACTCTTATCCGACAATTCATCTAAAACTCTCCGGCATTTCAACACTACGTTTCAAAGCGAAATTTCCAAACAACATTTTGGGGTGCGGAGACAGGAATTGTCACTCGATTCCTGAGATACGCAGCTTTCCACGGGTGTCATATGGAAGGTCGAGAGGTTTGTAACAATTCAATTTCAAGGTGCTGAAATGTTGGGTACGGGCGCTGAGCTCTCCCTACTCAATCAGTATGGCAACGACGGTGTGGAGGTCGTCGTATCTAGCGACTCAGACATCAAGGAGGGCACAGGTGCTCACGAAAACATCCAAAATGACACTCAATGATAGAGATGATTGACAACTTGACGTAGCCCAGGTTATTTGGTATGCATTTTGCCATGGTACTTGCATGTTGGGAACTTGTGGCCAGGCACAAGGGGTACACGGATGCGGCTAATGGGGTTTCTCGGCACTTGTGCCAGTGGTTGTGACACTTAGCCACTCACCCCCACCGTTAGGCGCTGCATCTGCCGCTAGGGTTTACCGGGTGCTAGCGGCCGTCGTGAGTTCCCTTTGGGAACGGACACGATAATTTACTTTACTTGCTTTACTGCATGTTGTATCTTTCAAAGTCTTAGTCTTAGCAGGAAAGCTGCCTATGCTCTGTGAAGGGCTTTTCAGCACTATTTCTCATGGCTGTGTTAACCCTACCGTAGGTGCATTTCACATTATCAGTACTATGTTTGTATTATGTGCTGTTACTATCCAAGTTGTGCATTGCATGTGATATTTCACAGGTTCCGATTGCATTTCCTGGTGACAATGCTGTATCCATCAATCATTCGTTGCAACAATGTGTGTGCGTGCGCGCGCGTATGTGGGTGGGTGTGCTTGCATACATGCCTTTGTGTGTATGTGTGTATTTGCGTGTCGGTCTGTGTTTCCTCTGCAGTTGGCCCAGTGCTTATTCTTTTTGCAGTTTCTCACTAATGATAGAGTGCTGGATTTTGTCGAGAGTGTCACCGGACTCAATACTCCAGAGACATTCCTTCTCTCCGTTATTGGTATGCTTCAATGCTTGTGTGTGGCATAATGTGAGGAGAAGGTTAGGAGTCTGCAAGATTTCCAGTTTGAGTCTGCCATGCAGACAACCAGTGTGAGTCTGCTGTGAGCAGGCATGCATAGTGGGATGGTCTTTGACCATGATTGAGAAACAGACCCGTCATATATTTCTCTAGCGCAGGGGACAGAAGGAACAGCATACCAGTTACATATCTTGAGTTAACAGTGGATTTTCTCTTCAAAACATAGACTAGAGTGTTGTGCCTCGCTTCACATTCAACTCTTACAATACTATGATTGCTTGGGGAAATGTTGTTATGTCTGGCCCTAAGGGCCCACACGCAGCATTACACAGATTCGTATGGCCATTCTAATAATGAAAGAACTGAAGGACCATGTTGACTCATGCTTTTTTTTACCATTTGTTTCTTGCCTGCAGTCAGCGTCTTCATCTTCTCCATACCGTGTACGCTGAGAAATATTTACCTGTAAGTCCTGTGCCCGTCCTCAGTATGCTACTAACGATGTACACTTCTTTTAGGACACTTGTCTTACTCAGTGTGTTGCGACTCATGACATGGGATGCTGATTGGCCTCTGTGAGCCAATGCCAACGTAGTAACTGAGTCTCCGCAGGCTTAGTGGAGAGCCTATGGTTCTGCACTCAGCAGCCAAAATGTGTCCAACCTAACTTAGATCGAGGAAAACTTGCGAATCTTTAATTTTGTTGCCAAAATATAGTGCCCGAAAGAACAGAATGGGTTGTGGACTGCCTGCTGAGTGAAAAGTCTGTCGGCGCGTTCTAGGCTTGGCCTGGTCCCATAGCTTGGATGGGTAGAGCAAATCTTATGACAAGCAAGTGGGGTTGGCATTTTTTCGTTTTTCTGGCAGTTTGCATGATCCCTGACTGATTGAAAAGAACAGGATACCGAGAGAGCCCTATGCTCATGGGCGCTCGCTATGCTGGCCATGTTCACATACATGAACAGCTCTACGTGATGTGTACCATGATGCAGGATATATGCATGGTACTAGTACCTTTGAAGATCCCCACGTGATTGTCGTATTACCCATACCCTGAACGTCTTGGTATTGCCTGGCTCTAGCAGGCGTTGTTACGCCACTCATGTGATAGATGTTTTTACCTGCCACTCATCCATGATCCTTTGGTCATGTGGTATGTGCACGCATCGAATATGCATGCTCGCAATCCCCACGAAAGGCCGCTGGACAAAGTCGGCAATTGCTTACATAATATTTAGGGCCCATCATTCAGTTTCGACTTAGGCGGCTCGTGACAATACTCCGTGCTGTCTCGTTCGTGTAACGAAGGTGGTCTCATGTGGACACAGGTGGCAATCTACAACCACAATTCTCTAGTGTGCCACTTTCATATTTTCCCAATGAACTTACAATGTAGGGTTGCAGCATATTTGGGGGAAATCCTTTTGCTTCCAATCAGCATTTGATCCTGGTTACCTTTGTTCCTTAGTAATTGTCTTGAACCGCCCCACTATGTCTGACAAAGCTTAAAAACCTTTTGAACTATTTTAGCACGTGTGGCATGACTTTTCTTTTGACTATCTGCAGTGCTTCCAAGGATAAAACCAACCCAGTGGTCAAGAAGCAGCTCCATTGGTCCACTGCCTTCCAGCCCGGTGTTCCGTTCTTCATGTCGTCAGCTATCTTCATTGGCTGGCACATTGTTGGCAAGAATAATGTTGCTGTTTACCACACTCGCCTGTTCTTCTACTCGTGGGCCCTGATCTTCTCTAACATTACGGTAAAGCGTCGCATGCGTACATAGTCATTCTCCTGAGATGTTGTATTTGCCCACTAAACAGCAAACACGTGGACATGTTTTGGTGGGTGATCCGGGACACCTATCCTCTACTTACAATTACTGCACTGGCGTAAGAAGTTGTATATTGCACCGTAGCTCTATATTTTCACATCTGCCTAGTAGCATTGGGTTGAACCACTGTCCCTAGAATCACACCCAACTGCTGAAACGCCTCAAGGCCGTAACAACAGCACAAAAAACACCGTTTTGCACAAATTGGGTTGGACAACGTTTTGAAAATAAGGTCCGGCCATGGCCTTTGCCGGACCGGGTGCCACGGCCCTGCACGTACACTTACTTGCTTCCTACAGCTCATCTCACATATTCGCATCTGGATCCTCATCTGCAGTGTTTGTGTGTTCTTACCATACGTGCACTTCCATAAGTATCTACTTGAAGTACATAGTGAACCTTGGTTGTCAAAACACGTTTTAGTGAACCTTGGTTGTCAAAACACGTTTTAGTGGACATTGGTTGTCAAAACACGTTTTAGTGGACATTGGTTGTCAAAACACGTTTCCACTACGCTCACCGTGAACATGGGCCACGCCTGGAAATTCAAAATGGAAAGTCAGTTATTTGCAGGGATGCCGAGACCATTTGGGAGATGAAGACGTTATGAGTAAATAAATACTGGCTGGTCTGTTAGATTTTATCTCTTGGTTTTCACCGATTCGCAGCTTGTGCAGAAAATCTTTCATAAAAAATGGGACAGCAACTCTTAGCTAGTTCAGTTCCCTCACGCTGACGGACTGCAGTGTCCTGTAATATTATGCACAGGTAAAATAGATGTTTTTGTTTTCTTGTGTGTGTACCTGCAGACACGTTTGATTGTGGCTCAGATGTGCAGTCGCCGCTATGCCCCACTGAACATTCTCATCCTGCTTCCAGCCATAGCGTTTGGCGTGGATGTGCTGGAACTGGCTGACACAGAAGTGACCATGTGGTGCTTGTTCCTGTCTCTACTGGTGCTACACATCCACTACTTTGCCTGTTTGGTAAGTACTATAGTCACGGCGTTGCATGGTGAAAAGCACTGGCCGGGTTTTCTTGGTGTGAACAAGCAATGTTTATTTTTACTGCCCGGTGGAAACTGCTACTCTGGTTGGTGGAGTGGGTGTGTGTGGAGGGGGGGGGGGGGGGTGTTGGCGAAAAGGAGAAGGAAAAAGACATACGGATGGGGTGGACAATTTTAAAACATCAATGATGTAGAGGGAAATCAACAAGGCGTACAAGGAAGAATTATCTTATTTCCTCCCCTCCGCCGCAATGCATACTAAGTATGTCTTATCATTTAAACAAACGGCGAGGAGACAATAATTTGATAACTTGTCTTATTGATTGCGGTTATCATTTTATCATTGAATCGGATTCCGGAAATTTCTTCTTCTAGCGATTGCACTTTCATGGTTGACGTGGGTAAACACCTGAGAGGTACGGCAGAGAGGGCAAGAGGCCTCTCAGGGTTTTTCTATTCCCAGGAGTTTTAACCGGAGGACAAGACAAGCAATGGCCCAGCGTCTAAGTCAAACATCATCGCGATGCCGTCAATTCAGCTCAGCGCCTGCCATGCTCCTGTTAGAATATGTTCTTTCGCCTGATCGAGAAGTTCCATGTACATGTCTCTGTTATTTCGACGCTCTGGGTATCAGCTGCTAGAACTGGAAATGGAGTGGAAGAATTGGCACGTCGAGCTCTTGAGATAAAATATGAGTCGTACAGTCAACACCTTTAAAAAAAAATGTGACTGAGGTGCAGATGCGCATGTGTTTATACATACGCGTCTATGACTACGTGTCTATACATATCTGGCACACACTGCTCCAGGCTAGTGTGGTGCTGGCTCAGTAATTAAAAAAAAAAGAAAGTGCAGCTGTGTGCGTACAGGATTTTCATGCATGCAAGCATACACTGTACTGCTTAATGAAATCCAAGTGTGTGTGTGTGTCAAGTACACGCCAGGCGCTGTGCAGCCCTAGCCCTACCTACACTGGGCTGGTCACTGGTGCAAGGTGCATAGCTGACTCACTTGATCGGGTTTCAGTGAGTAGCACTGTGCCTGGCTTGTTTGCACTGGCTCTGGCAAACTGGTTTCCAGATATGGCGAGTGACACACTCATCACCCAAGCAGAACATCATGTTTGGTGAACTTGCTTGTTGCTTCACTAGGTAGTGGATTAGTTGTCACCAAACGTTTGAGTGCATGTATGTATGGGTACTCATCAGTGGACCAAGGTAGACCATGAGAGATGGTTGCACTGTTTCTAGACTTTGGCAAAAAATACATTAGCCCCATCCCTCACATAAATAAGTCAACAAAGAGGCATCTTTGGATTGAGGAGGGCTGGTTTCGAAACAACTGGTTTGAAGCTCAAAGTAGAGCTGCTGTTAGCTCAGAGCAGAGCTGCAGTTAGCTCAGAGCAGAGCTGGTGTTAGCTCAAAGTAGAGCTGCGGTTAGCTCAAAGTAGAGCTGCGGTTAGCTCAAAGTAGAGCTGCTGTTAGCTCAAAGTAGAGCTGCTGTTAGCTCAAGGTAGAGCTGCTGTTAGCTCAAAGTAGAGCTGCGGTTAGCTCAAAGTAGAGCTACGGTTAGCTCAAAGTAGAGCTGCTGTTAGCTCAACGTAGAGCTGCAATGCTAAATGGACGTAATATAGCGCAACGCAGAGCCGCAGCAAATAGCTAGATATACCAGTTGTGAGAGTGGACCCGATTAGTGGGTACGACAATTATAATGATGGTGTGAATAAGTTCGATAGGGGGGATGGTGGGAAAAGAAACACTGCTGAAGCACGATCCGTTGACTGGAAGAGCACAACAGGGCAAGCAAGATTTGTTTTTCTTTTCAGCAAAACGGGCTGGTGCCATTTGTGATTACGCAGCAAAACTAAGCGCATGTCGTCAGTCTTGAATGCAGTACAAAGCAATGCAGTGCAGTGTGTGCGCTAGTTCGGATTGTTGCTAACAAGTACTAGCACAGCTAGTGTAGTGTCTCAGCTAGAGACGGGGTTCGGTTTATTCTATGATCGATTACATGGAGACTAGAAGAAGACCAACTACAATTGCAAGTAAATTATGTTAACGGAACAAGAACAAGGAGACTCGTGTGTCAATACGAAAAGGCAGACATACTAAAATGATCTGCGCATGGTGTGACGTCAATACAATAATGATGACGTAAGAAATGTCCAGGAGTGGATCATCAGCACATACACTACAGCTAGTACACCATTAAAACGTACTGTTTTGTCTTTGAATTAGAGACCAGTGGACACATCCATCCAAAAGGCTCTGAAGATCCGGGCCAGCTTTGATGCAGTGCAACGTTTCGGCACTAGGCCATCATCAAGTACAGACAAGGATCACTGTACTTAATTCTCACTTTTGTTTGCTTTGTTTTGTCCTCGTAGATCCGTCAATTTTCTTCATACCTAGGTGTTCCATGCCTGGCCATGGCCAAGCCAAAGGAATGAGTCAGTGCAGCTGCGGTCTTGCCCAAGTTTCAGCCCTAGTGTGTGCTCCTCTCTGTCTCTGGCTTTCTGTCCGGCTCTGTCTTTCCCTGTCTCTGTACCTCTGGCTTTCTGTCTGTCTCTGTCTCTCTCCCCTCTCTGCCCCTGTCTCTCTGCCTCTGTCTGTCACCCTTCCCGTCTGTCTCTCTGCCTCTGTGTCTATTTCCCCCCCCCCCCCTCTCTCTCATGTGTACGCACTTGCTCGCTCACTCTGCTCCTGGTGTAGGTTCAGATCAAAGTTCACTTCAATACTATCAACTCATAGACTTTTCAGTACTAAGCATGTTTCATGTTTCATGTTTCATGTTGTGTATTGAAAAGGCCAGATCTTTTGTTGTGTATGGAAAAGGCAGGATCTTTTCATGCATCAAGCAGCTGGCATGCTCTTATCTTATTAGCAGCAACACATGTTGCCGTACGCGGGTGGCGAGTGTGCGTATTTGACTTCCCTTTCAACAATGGGTGGTATGTAGTGGCACTGCTTGTAAGCCTTGCCGCGGCTCAGCCTTGCTCAGCCTGGGTAATTGGCTGCCCCATGGCATCACTAGCTACTGGCTGTTCAGAGAGATACGAGTTGAACTATTGATATCTAGTAATCATTAATAGGTTTGGCCACGAAGAAGCAAACTAGAGACATCTCTCTATTCTATGCCTATTTATTTGTAGTCGTTTTTCAATTGCACTCTTCTATAATAGGATTGCACTCTTCTATAATAGGATTGCACTCTTCTATAATAGGATGTTGCCCAACTAGTTCAATCCACATTAGATTTTGATATGGTACAAAAGACTGCAGACTAATCAAGTGTACTGAGTTCATAAACGCTCTTTCTTTTCCGTTGGTTAGTAGTGATTTTGCAGTGAGTTCTTCAATTTGTTTCGTTAAATGAAGCGAAGATGTCGGTGAAGTCCAATGTGTAAACTGCCCAACTCTACCTCATTCATGAGAAGTAGATGCTACATATTAGTGTCCAATGCCATCTAGTCACAACCATGCCCTAATGCGAAAATGAATCCCTTCTTGCTGTGTTGTCTAATAATTTTAGTTACTGCTGAAGTTCTGTTTTTGTCGAGTGCTGCAGCGCCAATAGTTGTGTGTGTGTGGGGGGGGGGGGGGGGAAGGGGGAGGGGAGGGGAGTGGTATGTACGCACGTCGGTTATCCAACAGCGCACTGTCAGCTCTTAGATTGTATATTTACACAAGATTACAGTCCAGCTTCAAGTACAGTCGTCCCTCTCTAATCCGGCACTTTATAATCCAGCACCCTCGATAAACCAGCACAATTTTCAGTAGCCAAAATGTCCTCTTCATGCACATTGCAGCAGTAAATCAGATTTGTTAATCCAGCACCCTCCCTAATCCAGCAGATTTTCGTGGCACAAATGGTGCCGGATTATAGAGGGACCACTGTACTTGAATGTGCCGGGACAGTGAGCACCACTGATGAACATTGCCTTGATCCAATGTTACATATAAGTCAGTCTATAGATGAGCACGGCGACTGCCTCAGGATAATACCAATAACACAGCATCCAAACACAGGTGAAGTTGTGCTCTACCGTCCTTTTGATGTGTGAACAGAAGATGGTCTTGTAGCTTCAGTTGTCGAGAATACTAATTTTTCCAACGGCGTCCGGTCCCGAGGGTGCTGGATAATTGACACGCAACTGTACATGTGTGTGTGTGTGTGTGTCACAGTGTGTGTGTGTGTGTGTGCGCGCGCGCGCGCGCGCGCGCGCGTGTGTGTGTATGTGTGTGTTGCTATGTTTAACATACTGCGCTTGTTCGCTACCATCGCTTCAGCAATGGGCAGGAGTACGAGTATGAGTGATCCTGGGTGTGACATCATCATGACATCGGCCGTTGTCCATAGTTTGAATGCAGCCATGGCTCAGCCAGAGCAACCAACACCGACCGCAGCTCCTTCCGCATCGTTTGCAATTGCGGTCGGCGTTTCAGCAGGCCACATGACCTATCCCGACATCGCCCCTACTGCTCCGAACTTGCTAAATGCCCCAACGGGTCCGCATAGCCAGAACACGACAGGGTGTCCAAGGTGTGTGTTTGTGCGCATGCGTGAGAATGTGCATACATGCGTATACATGTAATGTGTTTGCATGTCAAATGACGCTCAAGTCACATTGCACAACTGTATTCTGCATGCGGGATGGGCTCTATTTTCGGGGCATCATTCACTACAAACCGTGGTATTATGCTCCCGCTCTTGTACCGTCAATTCTGCTGACAAACGGCATAGTTCTACTGATAATAGCTGTTCTCGTTCCTCATCATACGGACTCAGTGCCGTGCACATAAGCGGGTATTCAGAGAGACTTGGACACCAAGACCAACACCACAAAAGGCAGGGTTAGCAGTTTGTTGGCCACAGCTACATGTGACTCAAAGATCAATCATTTAAAAGAAGAAGAAGAGGAGTGGGAAATCAAGAGAGGGGGTAAGAGAAGTTCTATACTGTAAAGACGTTCCTGATTGGGTGGCAACGGGGAGAGAGATTTGAAGCAGTTCAGCAATCAAGAGAATGTCTGGGGTGGGGGAAAAGCAAGCGACCATCTTAGGTCTCGAAACTAATGATGTGAAAATATGGTTTTCAAATATAATTGCCTTCTCGAGGAAGGGCTGATGTGTGAGCAATCAAGCAGCAGGGAGCAATGTTTAAGACTATGAAAACGAGTGAAAAACGAGTGACAATAAGACAATAGATCAGTAGTACTGGCAACAAGAACAATGCAGTGGGCAGTGCACGCGCCACAGCGATGTGAGATCATGACACGATTTGAAGAATCACATTTGCATCTCATAGCACCGCGCAGCATCCGCAAACACTGGCATTTGAATGCATCGCGACATTGGTACAAGGATTTTTTTAATGCTGTAGAAAATGTTTCAGAAGAGAATGTGCGTGCCTGTACGCACAACATGATAATCGACTTTGCACATGCGTTGTTCTGGAATAAAACGAAAGAAATTTGGGCATAATCGATTCACACATTGCAATGGAGGGAATGAACATCCAAACACACGGTGAAAAAGCAAACTTGTGGTCCTGTCAGTCTTGTCTACTGGCATGCTGCGCTTGCTTCCAGCAAAACATACAAGTAGTAACGGAAAGAGAACCAATATGCGGTGCATTTTACACACCTGTACAGCGCATGGCATGAGTGATGCACGTCAGATAATAATACATGTAGATACAATCATGATCATTGCATGGCACAGCATTGAATGTGACAGGATCCTGATGAAGGAAGGAAATGCGTTAACTTTGGAGAAGTCAATTGAAGCATAACCCAATCCATACATGATAACGATACATTTCAAAATGAACAAAACAATAATGCAGCACCAGGTTCCTGCTGCGAAACCACATGCATAGGATAAACATGGCGAAAACGTATGCATAGGGTAAACATGGGGAAAACGTATGCATAGGATAAACATGCCGAAACCGTATGCATAGGGTAAACATGGCGAAACCGTATGCATAGGATAAACATGGCGAAACCGTATGCATAGGATAAACATGGCGAAACCGTATGCATAGGATAAACATGGCGAAACCGTAGGCATGGATAAACATGGCGAAAACGTATGCATAGGGTAAACCTGGCGAAACCGTATGCATAGGATAAACATGGCGAAACCGTATGCATAGGGTAAACATGGCGAAAACGTATGCATAGGATAAACATGGCGAAAACGTATGCATAGGATAAACATGGCGAAAATGTATGCATAGGGTAAACATGGCGAAACCGTATGCATAGGGTAAACATGGCGAAACCGTATGCATAGGATAAACATGGCGAAAACGTATGCATAGGATAAACATGGCGAAACCGTATGCATAGGATAAACATGGCGAAAACGTATGCATAGGATAAACATGGCGAAAACGTATGCATAGGGTAAACATGGCGTTCAGTACCATTGTATGGTATTGGTGTTGTGTGTTCAGATACCCATACTCACATGAAAGGAGTGATACCGACACACACACACACACACACACACACACACACACACACACACACACACACACACACAGACCACTCACCAGAGTAACACTGCAACTGCCATGATCTTTCAGCAGATTGGTGAAATGTTCACAAACACCAAGAGGCCTTGCGCAGAGCCATCATAGAGCACGTGTCTCCCTACGAGGCAATACATGTTAGTGGACAAAGCCTTCTGGTGTAGCACAGCCGGGTACAACAACATGAACCTCCAAGCAGTAAATTCTCCCAATTCCCTGAACAGGGATCGAAATTGATGTTATCACATATTCCATTGGTTTCAGATATCTGTTGTTTGCTGTTTGCATCATTTCAAGCAAGTGACCTGTAGACATTAGGTCATCATCAGCTTCACTTTCATTGGCCACCAACATAGTCGAGCCAAAACGTCAATTGATTTCACCAGATTCAAGATCCTCTTCATTTTCTGGGAACGGTTCCGCAGGAAATTGATCCGGCATCCCCTTCATCTTCTGCATCATCATTCATCCTCCACTCCGTGAACACATTGCTAGCAGAGTCTATGCCTGCGGTGTCTGGCGAGTCACTCCAAAGCTGCACTGTTTGTCTTGCTTGGTGATCCATGTAGTCGGTGTGAAGTTTCTGTGAAAGCTGTACCACGATGGTGACAACAGCAGCAAGGTTCTGGCACTTCACGCTCGGCGGCAGCGATTGGAACAGATCCTTGTAGGTGTCGTCGCAAGTGTTGCCTAGTGTGGACAGGCTGGCATCTTGTGTTTCCTCTGCCCGCGGTGCGCATTCCAGCAATCTTTGAATTGCTCCTTCGGTGTAATGCAATCTCTGCTCAACATTAGCGCTGGGTATACACTGGGTTATGACTTGTTGGACCTCTGCTTTGAGATTCTGCAGGAGTACAAAAGTAACAATCATATACACAGCGAAGATTACTTGACCATGAACATAATTGTGAATTTGTATTGCAAACTCAAGTATAGAACTGGATTTTGTACCCGCAAATTACCTACTGTTTATGACCACACCCCCCCCCCCCCCCAATCGTGCCATTTTGCTTCCCAGCTGGTTTATCGACAGGGGGAGGGGGGACTAGATCAAGGCTCTCAAGTCTCAAGTGCAGTACAACCGTAGTTTCCGAGTATAAAAAATCACGGTTCGCATAACACGAGTTTTCCGCACCCATAGGAACGCCACCACCCCCGAGGATCAAGGCGCAGATGCAGCTCCTAAAGCGGTTGGAGGTGGGTAGATCAGACCCACCAAAGTGGTGAAAGACGTTTTGGTGTTGTGTTCTAATCATTCACCATGCCACCGTGAATTGTATTCTGTTTTGGTGTTGTGTTCAAATCATTCACCATGCCACCGTGAATTGTGGGAGCGAGCTCCGACACCGCCACGGTTTGTATAAATAGTAGACATTGCGTAAGAAGAGTCGGACCAATGGCAGGACATAGAACAAGGTGAATCAAGTAAACTGACAAAGACTAACAAGTCACAACACGTTGCAATACGAGAAGCGACAATTCTTATGGCGCGGAGGAAGTAACAATCCGCAGTAAAATCAATTTTGAAACGTTGATCTATAATGTCTGTGTTTGCTGATAACGAGAGAGCTTGGAAGCTCAGGGCCCTACGCTGTGCTTTGACGTCTGCCCAACCATACCACAACGAACTGATCGGCTACATCATTGTATTGCAAAAAGTTCCCATCTGTTCGAATAACGTGCATGATGAGCTACAATGTAGGCAAAAAGGCATAGCGTAGGGCCCTGAGTGAAAGAAATAAACTTTCTCTTTGCATTCGAGGGTAATACGACACCGTCTACCACCTTGATGACCTAGGCAAAAAAGAATGGGGATGTTATAAATTTTTCATTTCTCCTATTTTTTCAAGACATACCCTAGGATTTGAACCCGCACTATCGCCCTGCATGCATTCCCCGATACACTTCGCATACATACTAATTCTTCCAAGTTGCTTCACGTTATTATCTTGCATTTGAAAGCCCTATTTGAATATTGTGGCCAGCTGTCTTTGATGGTACGGTACGGGACAGGTACGGGATAGCGCCAGGCATGCCGACGGCACAAACAAATGTAGCATGGCTACTTTATGACACGTAATTTGTATACACATAAATAGTACACTGTAGGAATGCATGGATAGCTGTGCGCATACTCGCACTGCCATTGGTCTTCTTCTTCTCCTTGTGAGACAATGAACGAATGATAACTACTTACGTAACTACAAGTATGTGCTTTGAGTGCTGAGACTGTATACGGGTTACAATGGTGGCAGCGGAAAAATAGTCGTCGGTTTTGTCCTCGGCTGGGAAGACGCCTCCGCAGGAGAGACAAGTTCAGGGCTCACAGCATCACACAAAAGCGTGGGCGCCATTTTGGACAGGCCGCTGTCACACGAGCCAGCCAGCATGCCAGAATCGTGTACATGCGATCAGGCAGATATCTCTGAAAACTTGAAAGTGGGGTGCATTCAAAATGTTCATTTGTACCAATGCTTTTGCCTAGGCCTCTGAAACTCTAGGAACATACTCTCAATACCCATTGTAAGGATTTGTCCGAGAGTTTTTTGTTTTAATCGATACGGTTTGGCGTACATATGGAGCCAAAGTATCAGTTGGTGCAGGCGCAATTCTGATTTGGATTATTGTACTAAAATTGAAAAGTCTCTCGGAGAAGTTCTTCTAATTTTCCTACTGAAAATTTTAAGCTATTGGCCATCAAAATCGGGCCAGAGACGGGTACAAACGAACATTTCAAAGGCAACCCTGTCTGCAGTGCAGCCCCGAGGAAGAACCGCGCGCGCTGCACTTGTTGTGAATGCGGAAACAACACTAGCAGCAAAGCAATTTTTTGAAATGTTTTTGCTACTCGCCTGGCGCTTCATCGCTGTGTCCTCCAGGACTTATCATGGTTATGGCAGACCGAAGAAAAACATGCCCAGCACAGTGGCGAAGCCATTGGACTTGTTCTCTTGCAACGAAACGGAGTGGCGAATCAAATAATTCACAACTCCACATCGTCACCACTGCGCTACACGGCTCTTCGCAGACCAGCCGTATATTTTCGTTTACACAACAGGACTTCACGGCGGAGTAACTAAAACTAGAACACGACGTGAGTCATTGCTCCCTGCCGTCAAGGAATGCTAGTCCTTTCCCTCTCCCGTCACCCGCGCCTGTGCATCAGCGGCGTTGCTGCCCGGCTGTAGATGTTGAACTCTTTCGTCAACGACTGCAGGATTCTGCTCGGGGCTACTTTTCGCAGGACTCCGTGTGCGGACAGTCTGAATGAAGCCTTCGGCCGATAAGGCCAACACTGCTCGCGAAATAATCCACTTGGAAGGAAACAAGAACTACCGAAATGAAATAGAGATAGTGAGACAGTCTCCGGCCATCTCCCTCACCATTCACGACTCAGTCCTTGTCACAGCAACTAAGCCCAAGCAAGTCAAAATCTCCTTGCGCGACTGCGTTCTACGCCTGCGCTTAGCGGTCACGCGAGTTCGTTTCTATGGTGATCAGATCCAAGATGTCCTCCCACGTAATCGAGGTTTGGCATGGTTGCTGTGAGCCCTAAAGTTGCAGAGTCAACAAGTTCCAGAGAGTCTGAGACCAGTTCCAGCTACTCGGGAGACCAGCCCACAGAATAAGTTCTAATTTACTAGCATTGATCATTCTATCCTTCGTCCCGTTTTCCATTCTTTACTTCTTGACCGCTGATCGTTTGCTGTGTAGTAGTAACAGTTTCGTTTGGTGTAAAAAGGGCCTACTATTATTTTTGCACATAGATCTACGTGTACGGTGTGCGTGCATACATAGCTGAGCTGGCCTACTCTTGTACTTCAAGTAATTGTAGATTGTGCATGCATGCACCCGCATATGCCGTAACTCCATGATTGTACTTACTTGTACAAGTACTTGTGTAGCTAGGTAGACCTACGCACTACGTAGCTAGACACATCGCAGATTCACGGTACGGGCCGGCGGGTAGGCCGCGAATGACATTTGCATTGCAGGTTTTTTTGTAGAATTTTTTAATATTAATATTTAAAAATGCGACGTGGAGACAATAATCTTAATAATGCAATGAATATAACTAAATGCGCACTCATATCACAACCATGGGGACGAATCATGTATTCCAGAACGTTTTCTTGTCACAATTATCAATGGAATTCGTGACTAAAGAGAATGATGAAACTACAATAGGATTTATACACTTGCAGTGGAACAGCGAGGATACAGTGCGTATCGGTTATAGTGTGGTCGTATACAAGAATATACTGCTTACAAGAATGAACACTCAATTTTTCATAATCATAACACATATTTTATGTGTATATTTATTCTTACAAGCAGTATTATCGCATAGTAGAATATATCGGCCCTAAGAATGGATTTTGTGCAGCAAAATATGCCAGATTAGTGCAAAGTGTATCGCCTGTAGTAATAACATCTGTGCTCTGTGCATACTCAATACAATAATATTCAACACAAAAAGAGAGTTATGTCCAAGGGAGCATTGGAGAATCACTTTTTCTGTCCAGTCGGACTCTTTCTTCCGACTTCTCTTGTATCCGCTGCTCCGCAGTCGCCTAGCACGACCGCGAGTCTGATTGATCCGTGTGTATCATGTGTATGTGCCCGCATGCCAAACGTGCGCGCATATGATATGTCACACGTGCATATGATAATTATTATGTCACACATGATTTATCGTGTGTAAGAAATATCGGCAATAAGAATCAAATGTCGTTTTTCAAACACCCACGCTATAACCGATACCTACTGTACAAGCATAGTAAGAAAAATAGCACACACCTAGGAACAATTTGCACAGGTAATAAACTATAGGTGAGGTGACTATCATTTCTCACCTCACCTATAGTTTATTACCTGTGCAAATTGTTCCTAGGTGTGTGCTATTTTTCTTACTATGCTTGTATCCTCGCTGTTCCACTGCAAGTGTATAAATCCTATTGTAGTTTCATCATTCTCTTTAGTCACGAATTCCATTGATAATTGTGACAAGAAAACGTTCTGGAATACATGATTCGTCCCCATGGTTGTGATATGAGTGCGCATTTAGTTATATTCATTGCATTATTAATATTTAAATTTTGTTTAAATTTTGAACTTGATCTTGAACGAGCGAGATGGGCAACAAGTCGAAAAAGCAGACCCGGTAACCTAGTCCATTGGCATTCGAGATGTATGACAGGCCTGCCAGTGCCTCAGCATTACCGAGACCAATCCTATTGCCCAAAGTATTTGGTCGTGCTGGAAATGAAGATTTTTCGGCCTACCTCAAACACTTCAACGATGCATGCCACCTGAACGGGTACAGTGAGGAACAAAAACTATTGTTATTACCCACAAGACTCCTGGGCTCTTCCCATGAACTGCTGGAGACCATTCTCCTATCTGATGCAGACATTTCGTTCCATGAGGCAGTTGAAGCGCTCCGCAGTCGCCTGGAGCCACCACAGCAGGCCAAAATGCATGAAGCGGCTTTACGCCAGCGCCTGAAACTTACACATGAAACGCAGTATGCATATGCCATGGAGCTCCGCCGCCTTGCTGCCAATGCATATCCAGGCCAACAGGGCCCGTTACTGGAATCGATGCTGCTGCAGATTTTCATTGATGGTCACCCAACGAAAGATATGCGCCTGGCGCTGTCTTCGCCACGACCAGCAAGCATTGAACTGGCGGTCCAAAAAGCAATTGAGGTCTCTGCCATTTACGCCAGGGAACAGAGCAGGATGCCTGTAGAGTCTCACTTCACTCAGGCTGTACATGTTGGTGACTACGATGGCTCGGCCTGTGCCGCGTTGCCGTTACGCAGCCAGCCACCAGGCCCACCACCAGCTGTACCTCGTGCTTCTGTTGCCAAGGCAAGTGCGTATGACGCTGGAAAGCGTGATCGACTGGCCCAAGTGCTTGAGAAGTTTGATCAAAGAATGACAGAACTTGAAAAGAGACTCGGCCGTTTGGAAATAATTGTCGCTCCGCAAACACTAGTCACTGCAGGAGCAAGTCACGATGGCCAGTCTCGTGTCAGTGGACATGGTCGTGGACGGGGACGGGCGTATGGTCGTGGTGGTCGTGATGAACCACCGATTTGTTTTGGTTGTGGACAACCTGGCCACTTTGCTGTTGATTGCCCACACAACCCTTGGCGCTCGGGAAACTGAGTTCGACTGGTGGTGTGGGACAACTTGGCGCTCGGGAAACTGAGTTCGACTGGTGGTGTGGGACAACTCCCAGTCGTTCACTAGGAGCCATCAGATGAGGTGCAAATCGAGGCTGTATCGTCTGTCGTCCCTACCCTAGACCACAATGTTCAAGGCAAGAGCGTAACTGCACTAATTGATTCTGGTTCATGTGTTTCTTTGTTGCATGAACAAACATTATTGTCCACGTATGGTGATGTGCCTTTGCAAGCTGCCCCCCGTTTGTGTTCGGTGAATGGTGAGGGACTTCGGGTTCTGGGTGCTGTAGATATCAAATGCTGCATTGGAGGGTGCTCATTTTTGCATGCATTTGTAGTGTCCCCCGATATCCGCCGTGATATGATCTTGGGATCTGATTTCTTGTTTGACCATGGAGCATTACTGAACATTGCTCAAGGCACCTTAACTTTTAAAGACCTGTCAGTCCCTTTAGGAGTGAAAGCTACCAGTTTTGGTCCATCGGAACCTAGTCCGGCTGTTGCGGAGGACCCGGCACCAGTATCTGACTCTTGTGTTAGTGATAGTAATTCTCAGGAAGACCTGAGCACGTACTCTTCTCGTGTCACTGTTGGCCGTGCATTAACTCTGCCTGCCGGCCATGTAGTGTTGGTGCCGTGCATGTCTGTGCAAGAGGCACCTGTAACTGTGGACTGTGTTGCTGATCCACTTGACTCACTCTTGACAAAGTTTCCAGATGTGTCTGTGACCCCCATGTGGATACGGTTGGACCTGACAGGTCCCGTGTGGTAGCTGTGTTGGAAAATCACTCTGACCACCCAGTGCTTCTTGCTAAAGATGTTAACATTGCCGAGTTATCTCCTGTGCCCGAGGACTTCATTGGCAAGGATGATGATCCTACTGTTTCGTCCGTTGCGGATACGCAACCGCTTGTGCGTACATATGTTGACTCTCAGAGTCATCTGTCAGTACCTGAGAAGAACACACTTACAGAGCTTCTCCGGGAGAATCATGACTTGTTTATCTTGCAGGGGGGGGGGGATGATTTTGGTCATTGTGATGTTTTCCCGCATCGTATTAATACTGGTGAGACAAAAGCCAGTTAAGCAGCTTACGCGTCGTGTACCCTACCACCGCCGGCAGGCTTTACAAGCTTTGCTGGATGATCTGTTGGCCCGTGGTATAGTCACAGAGTCTATTAGTCCCTGGGCGTCACCCATAGTTCTCGTTCCAAAGAAGGACGGATCTTTTCGATTGTGTATCGACTACCGCAAGTTGAACAGTGTTACGGAGCCAGATGCGTACCCCATCCCACGAGTTGATGACATGCTAGACTCACTCTCCGGCTGTTCATGGTTCACTTGCCTGGATTTATTATCAGGTTATTGGCAGATCGCTATGGGCGAGGAAGATAAGGCCAAGACTGCCTTTACCACACCGTTGGGTTTGTTCGAGTTCTCAGTGATGCCAATGGGATGTCGAAATGGTCCGGCAACTTTCCAGCGTGTGCTGGAAGCGGTGCTTCATGGCTTATGCAATGTGCCTACCCAGCCATTCTGTCGTGCTTTCTTCGACGATGTACTGAATGCCAGTTCTACCTTGACTGGACAGCTCCAGATCCTCAAGTCGGTGTTTGGCCGCATTCGTATTGCTGGACTGAAGTTCAACTTGAAGAAATGTTTGTTCTTCCAACGGAAAGTGCTCTTCCTCGGCCATCAGGTTTCGGCTGACGGATTGGCTCCGGATCCGGCCAAAGTTGAAGCTATCGAGCAGTGGGCTGTACCGAAGTCGGTGAGAGATGTACATGTGTTTCTGGGCTGCGCTGGGTACTACCGTCGGTTCATCCGTGGCTTTGCTCAGCGCTCTGCACTCCTGACTGCTCTATCAGGGAAGAATGCCAGCTTTATGTGGACAAAGAGTTGTGATGCGGCATTCACCTCCCTGAAACGGTCACTGACAACAGCCCCGTGTTGGCGTATCCCGACTTTTCTGTTTCGTCTGGCGGCTTTATTTTGGACACTGACGCAAGCAAGGTGGCCATTGGAGTTGTCCTCAGTCAAATGCAAGATGGCGAGGAACGCCCCATTGCGTTCGGCAGCCGGGTATTGACAAAGGCAGAGAGGAATTATGATGCGTCAGACCGGGAAACGCTAGCCCTTGTTCATTTCGCGAATCAGTTCCGACACTATTTGCTTGGTCGGAATTTCATTGCCCGTACCGATAACATTGCCCTCAACGCACTGATGTCCGTGAAGGAACCACGCGGTTGAAAAGCTCGATGGGTGGAGCAACTCGCTGAGCACACCTTCACTACGGTTCACCGGCCGGGTCGGCAGCACTTGCATGCAGATGGTCTGCCACGTTCCTTGTTGCCGGAGGTGCAACCCTCCCATCTCGAGACTCCCGCAAATCAGTCAGAGCAAGCTAGTTCCTCTGCCACAACCGGGCGTCTGTGGATGTCGCCACTTCTGTATTAGCTGGTCTCTCCACAACTGAGTTGGCCGCTTCCCAAGCTGTGGATGTTGATCTATCAGTGGTCTTGTCATGGTACAATACAGTGAGTGGAAAATTTGTGCGTCCTTAAGATTTAATTTCTGGCACTAGTCGTACCATACGTTTGTTCTGGGCGAATGCCGAGCAACTAAGTCTCATTGACAGCGTTCTGTCCATATCACCTCCATTTTCCGATCATGATCATGTCGGTACTGCACCCCGTCTTGTCGTCCCATTTGTGCTTCAACGCAAAGCTTTGCTAGCTGTTCATGCTCTTCCGTCTTGTAACCATCCTGGTGTAGATAAAACGTTAGCTCAAACGCGGCTACGTTTTTTTTCTGGTTTGGAATGGCATCAGATGTTCAGGAGTTTGTGCCGTGTTGTGTCACTTGTGCACAGATTCGGCTCAAGTCTGATGCCCAGGGTGCTCCGCTCCAGCCAATGTATGCCGGCTACCCATTTCAGCTCGTAGCCCTCGACATCGTCGGTCCATTGCCAGAGACGCCTCGTGATAATCGATATCTGTTGGTTATGGCTGATTACTTCACTCGGTGGTCAGAAGCTTTTCCACTCCAATCCGTTACTGCAGAAGCTGTCGCTGTGGCTGTTGTCAATGGCTGGATAGCACGGTTTGGATCCCCTGAGCAACTGCATTCAGACCAGGGTCCGCAGTTTGAGTCTAAGCTTTTTGCTGAATTATGTCGTCTGCTGGGTATTCACAAGACCCGTACTACTCCCTACCATCCGGAAGGTGACGGACTTGTAGAGCGGCTCAAACGCACGTTGCTTGGTTTCCTCCGTGCGCACATCACCCCTACATCTATTGAGTGGCTTCTCTCTTGTCTTGCTTTCGTACCATTCTGCTGTCCATGCGTCCACGGGTCACAGTCCTGCCAAGTTGTTGTACGGAACTGAATTGCGTTTTCCGGCAGATGTTGTGTTTGGTTTCCCACAACCACCGTCTCTTGAATCCACTAGTTATGTTCGCCATTTACAGTTTGCGTTGCGTGTTGTACATGCTCAAGCTCGAGAGCTCGCTGATCTGTCCCATGAGCACCAGGAAGAACATTACAACCGCCGAACCAAGGGTGCACCATTAGCTGCTGGCCAGTTTGTTTACGTAAAGGATGCTGTCATTCACCCTGGTGAACACCGCAAATTCCACCGCCCTTGGCGTGGTCCATTTCGTATTGTGTCCGTCTTTGGATCAACGTCCTTTGTTGTCGATGTTGATGGTCGCCATAAGACGCTGCATTTCAACCGCTTGAAACTCGCTTGCCTGCCGTCGCCATCTGCGTCACTGCCGCTGGAGGATCCAGTATCTGCTGCTCCAGTGATGCCTCAGTATGTCCCACATGCCCTCGACGGCGACCATAGTCCGCTGTCGTCTACGCTCCCGCAGTCAACCAGAGCCCATCTTGCTCGCAATGCTGGACTGCCTGCTTGGTTTACTGATTCAGTTATTTATTTTTTATGTTTCTGTTTTCTTTCTCTATTCACGAGGGCGTGAATTTTTGGTAGGAGGAGGATAGTGTAGCATGGCTGCTTTATGACACGTAATTTGTATACACATAAATAGTACACCGTAGGAATGCATGGATAGCTGTGCGCAAACTCGCACTGCCATTGGACTTCTTCTTCTCCTTGTGAGACAATGAACGAATGATAACTACTTACGTAACTACAAGTATTTGCTTTGAGTGCTGAGACTGTATACGGGTTACACAAACACACACCTTGATGGTACGGTACGGGACAGGTACGGGATAGCGCCAGGCATGCCGATGGCACAAACAAACAAACAAACACAGAAATAAAGCTGTGTGGACCCTGGATAGTGCCAGACGTTACTGAAGTAACGTCTTTTGCATAGCTACGGGAATAATAATATTAACAAGGACCTACGTACCTCCGGTTGAAGATCGAAACGAATTGTCAATGGAAGATCAGCATGCAGATAGCCCATTGTCACGATGTGATTATGAACCATTTTGTGTACCCTGGAGATATTGCCAAGGCGTACAGGAGCTTGTTGTTCCAGATGCTGGAGATCCGGCAGAAAGGATGTGTCGTAACTCCTTTGTGAGCTTCCAGAGATATCCTTGATGCACTTGCTCAGCAAGCAGTCTTGATTTGAATTAGCAGTAGGCTGGTTGAAACATTGCACATTGGAGATTTTTGCCAGAGCGTTCATCAAGCTGATTGCCTGCTCATGGTTCAATTTCCTTACAAACATTGTTACCAGGCGAAGATGATGGTCTTGTAATGGCTTGCAGAATACATCTGGCAGGTCATCCTTCAGACGATACCTATCAAGGGACTTCTGTCCCGAATCGAGGTGTATAGCAAACTGCAGCGGAGCTAACAGACGAGATTTTTCATATGTGATAACACGCATAGACTGAGCCACATAGGCTAAGATCAAGCGTGCGAGTCGAGGTAGATCATAGTCCACTGTTTGTCTTGTCAAATCAAAATTGGAGCACTGGCGCACAATGGAATCAACTTCATCAGTATTGATGTACAGAGCACCTTTGCCCTTCATTTCTGCAATAACCTCCAATGGCACAGAAGGTTGTGAATCCAGTAATTCCACGCCCAATTGGTTGCCTTCATCGAGACTTGTAGATGTAGTTTTGGTACAGTCATGATAAAAGTCCCACTGAACTTTCAACAAATATTTCAGAACCTTTGGCAACATGTCACTGATGTAGGACAAAGGTGTGCCATCTCCAATTCGTTCTATCCGGGGAGCAGCACAGTCAACGGCAATACGACCGCCGTTGAAGGCACGTACGCTGTTCCAGGCATCCATGCCTTTGCGTAGAGTCTCTCTTTGTACACCAACTTTTAGTTGTGACAGACAGGTATCTGGCATGTACTGGTGGAATCCAGCTGTTTGCAGCCATTCCATCATCACCAGCAAATCTGGAAAGGCCGCCAACAGCTCCAGCTCTTTGAGATTAGAAAAGAAGTGCCTAATGCAGTTGAGGTGTGCCCCAACAGCAGTGCTGCTATTGCTCTGCATAGCTTGGAGAACAGTAGTGATGCCTATTGGTGGCAACGGTCCAGGATAATGTGCTATCTTCTTTGCAAGATCGCCATACGAAATATTCGCCTCAAACTTGTCCAATCTGTCAAGTACATTATTGCACAGGTCTTGTTGAAACGCACACTCTGCAGTTTCTTTGAGACCACTGTCGGAATATTTCGTTGAGAAGAGATGTTGGTGCTTAGGTGAGTACTGCATGGTGACAAGTTTCTCCAGGCATCGTGTGATCAGCAGTGCAGACTTTTCTTGGCTCATGGGCCCTCGTCCAGCAATACCATCCACCAAACAGTTGATGGGCATTCCAATTCGCTGTCGACAGAACCACATTGCCTTTGCACGTAAGCTATGTCCTGGTGTGCCACGATCTTCTACATAGGACTTGGTAACGACTTTGAAGATATCATCTACTCCAACTAGAGCCACATGCCAGAAGATGGAGCTGAATGTGAACAGAAGGCAGAGTAGAGCCATAGTAGAACTCAGCCTGCTGTCCGAAGTGCATGTTGGTTGCCCTTTATCATCAAACTGACTGTAACAATCAATTTTAAACAACCCAAGATGGCCTTTCTGCTGTTTGTAGGAAACTGCTCCAAAATAGAATGAATCTTTGAGGCTGTCTGGGTTGGTGATGAGTGAATACCAATGTGTTTGCTGACTGAAGAATAGATTGCAAACCAGTACATTGACCATTAGCTGAGGCATGACATGTTGATCGTTGCTGGACTGTGGATCAAAAAGAGAATGAAGCTCATCATCTGGACCAAGGGCTGATTTTCGATAGGTCTTACTCAAGAAGAATTGAAACGCTTTCTTCTCCAAGATTGAAAGCCGCAAACAACTGAATACGGCATCAAAATTGGACCATAAAGCTTCAAGCGGTTGACATCTGCTCTTCTGGTGATAGTCATGGAAAATGAGAAGCAACAGAGAGCCTTTGATCCATGCGCATACTGGTATACCATCCACCAGTGTGTTTGCCGAAAGCTGACTAGAGATCCACTGTTTAATGGACGAGTACTCCTTGTTTTCTATCTTCTTGAACACACTTCGGAGCTCAGCATACTGTGAATGGGCTCTCTCAAATCCAATATGTGTTGACTCACCAGTGGCAGGTGGGTTCGGAGAGCGCATGAATGAGAGAAACGTTACCGGTAAATACTCGCTAGTGCCTTGGTTAATGCTCAAGAGAACTGCTCTACACCACTCACTGTTGTATTTGGTCAACCACTTGATAAGGTGCTGTGTGCTGACCTTTGATTTCAAAGCCTTGAGGAAGAACAAACACATGGATGATGGCTGCTTCAGGTCAAAGTCCTGTGTACTTGTCACATGGTTGAACACTGTTCTGAAGGCATTGTCAATTTGGATTACCGAGGCAGCAGATTGTTTGGAGATAATGGCGACCATTTGCTGAAGTAGGCAGTATGTCAAGCCAGTCAGGATAACGCTGTGAAAGAGACTGGACGGTGAACTATCAGTTCCACAGTCAAGTATTCTCCGGTACAACTCATGAATTGATAGTTGACTTGTGCCTTCACCATGCTTTCTAACTTGATGGAAGAAGAGTACATCAGCTAATGGCTGTTTCTTGAGGGGTGAGTAACCTTCATAGACTGGGGGCGTGTAGCTGTGGTGCATCGATAGCTCGCTCTTCAGACAACCAACTGTCGTCTTCTCATCTCTCTTCCAGAGGTGATCGGTGATTTGTACACTGAGTTCTTTGCACAAGCTGGCATAACGGACATCACTGGCGATCGACCCTCCATTCAGAAGGCGAACTATGGCTTTGATGTCAGCTTGTTGGATTTTGCCGTTTGATGACCAGAACTGGACACACTCTAGAAGGGCCAGAATGACCTTTTCTTTCTGACTGGATGTCCCTAGATCAGTTGCAAGTGATGTCATACACTGAATGAATGCTTGGCAAGATACCTGCTCAGCATGCGCAGCATGGACTACACTGACTTTGCGAACAGAAGCCATAGCAATGGGCCTTGTCAGTCCACACAAGAACACTTTCATGCTACGCATCAGTGATAGCCTGTCTACAGTGGTTCCGAGTTGACCTGACATGGCAGAGAGACAGTTGTTGATATCTGGTTCATTCCAAAGTTGGAGTAGATCAACCCACTTAGCGAGGGATTCGGACCACTCTTCAGCCTCACTATTCTCTGCTAGAGTCAGAAGGTGTTTCCATAGCTGATCACATGAATAAGACAGTAATTGAGCAGAGAAAGCATCCTGTAAGGAGTAATGCACCGCCATTCTTGCTGAGATGTCTGTGATGGAATTTGGAATGCTACCCACTGTCATACTGCACTGGAACAATGTGGCAATGACCTCTTTCTTCTTTTCCGTTGCCCAGTACATCACGGCAATCAGGTTGCGAGGTGCAGACTGGCATTGGTACTCCTGATCAAGCTTGAGCCATTGGAGAATTTGCTGCACAGACAGAAGTTCACGCGACCCCTCGCAAATTTGTGTGCTACCTTTTGCAAGCAGCAACAGGAGATAGTCCTTGCAAAATGTCTCCTGTATCTTTGATGCCTCGCTACCTGACAGCAGCTTGCCAATTATCTTGTCCTGTTCTAGCAGCTGCCTCGCCTTGTCCACATTGAATCCAGTATGCAACTTGGAGAGTACTGATAAGATTCTCTGCCTGAGCAGAGTAAAGAGAGGCAGTCCAGGCACCAGGCGATGGAGTGAGAGTTGAACCTGCTGGACCTGCTGACTTTTGAATGATGATACAGGAATCAAGTCAACTAGACAAGAAATAGTCTCTTCTGACCACTCATTGAGATGTACCAAGCCGTAGTTGCTACAGACACTCGTCAGGACAGGGTCCAAGATGGATGGAAACAGTTGCTGGATGCTTTGATCTACAGCTGCCGCAAAACTGCCTGATGTGTTGCGACTGGTGAGGTCCCGAGCAAGACTGCACATCAGCTTGTAGGCTTGACGATCGGAATATGAGCGTGAAAATCTCCTACATGCCAGCTTGAGAATGCAAGGGAAATCATCTAGCACACACTGTAGTTGCTTATGAAGTTCACCTTTGTTCTTGTAAAGCCGTTGGCAGGATGCCTTGACAGTTTTCGGAAGTTTCACTCTATTTTTCTGACAAGGCCTATACCGGGTGGCCAGCTCTTCGCCAAGCTTATCAAATCTCGTTGGTAGCACCAATTCTGCGAAGTCCTGATGCTTCTGTGTTTCTCTTAGGTCCACTTCATTGTCGTCACCACATGACTGCGACTCTCGGACAATGATTCCAGCAAGGCGACGTAGATTGAATGGAGGTTGGCACACCGAATCCAGAAACAGACAGCTCCACTGATTATTTAGGAAGGTTGCTGCATGGTTGCTTGGTAGATGGACTTCCAATTCTGGAATGTGGAAAAGCATTACGAAGAATTTGTTGCTTTCGGAACAAGACACCATGTTGTCGGTGATAAGTTGATGCCAGATGCGGTGATCTGAAGCCTTCTTGGAATCAATGCTTACCACCAAGCATGTTCTTGAATCCTGTTGGAAGCGCTGAAGTCTCGATTCAACATCACGTTTACACATAAACTCGTGTGCGTTCTCAACAGCGATGTGTTGCATCGATGTTTTACTGACCGTGGCACTGATGAATGACTGGAGGCTTTGCATGTCACTTGACGTGCGGGTAAACATCATGAGTGCTTTAGCTGCATCGGCACACTTGTTGCCCTTTTTCGCACTTTCAGGTGTTCGATTTTCCAGAAGTTGCTTCAAATCACAGCACGTGCTTTCTAGAGCATGAAAATAGATGCCAGCATAATCATTTGCGTCAGCCAGTGTGTGCATCTTCAGCACAAATGTCTCAGGTGTCACTAACTGGAGAAGTTGAGCACACAACCCTCTTGCAAGTCGCTGCATCTCACTACAATTTGCCGTGATGTTGTCAAAGTTGTTGAGAACGCCTGTGAATTCATTCACACAGAAGCTGCCAAATTCATCTCCTTCCCTTGGAGGCTGAATGTGTGACATGAGCAGCGAAGGTAGAGTATTGCCTGGAGAATATCCATAGAACGCGGAAGGACCCATGTGGTCAACAAATGATTGGCAGATGTTATAGGCAGCTCGCACTTTCAGCTGATCTGGAGGTGTCAACCGGTGAATGCGCTCATTGAGTATGGATTTTGGAGTGATCAAAAACTTTTCAAAGCGACTGAGGAATGGAGCTGATGAGCTCTCAAAATCTCTCTTGCTCAAGAACACAATGCACTGAAAGCTTGCGTGAACTTCGCATCTGTATGTCTTTGTGCCCATTGCAATATTGGCATATGCTTGAGGCGTTGTTGCTTCATCTTGCTGCGAACTCTGCTTGCTTGATGCACCAATCCGCAGAAAGCTCTGGTTTAGCAGATCATACAGGCTCCCAAAGACACGTGATGCATTAACCAGAATGGCTGTGGTGGGATGCTCTACGCAGTACTTTATTCCAGATATTACTTCCGCAACATGAACATCAGATTGATCCTGCAACAAGTCACTCATGCGGAACACCTTGGCATCATCTCTGCTTATCACACCTTCATTCTGGAGGAGGCGCAATCCAGAAAAATCATCTGTTGGATCAACAATCAACTTAAACCGCGGCGCTAAGTGATGGCCTGTCTCTATTGGCTTTTCAAACTGATCTTTCTGGGGCCGGCCACAGTGTGATGAAAATCGAAGTGCATGACGAAGGATTGTCATCTTAGAGCGGTAGAACTTTTGCTGAGGACGCTGAAAGGTTATACCCGCTTCTTGCAATTTGGCTTCGACACACTGAAAGAATATGTCAGTGATACGCCTGAAATCAGAATCATCAGTGGCATTGAAATTTTGCTCAAGTGCTCTAAGCAGCAGATCTCCACTCAAACTTAATGAGTGCCTGCTCTGAAGTTGGTGATGATGGATGTGACGGAGAAGGTAAATTATATCGCGGCAGTGGTATATTTTTCCAAAAGTGTCTTCCTTCACTACCTCTCTATATGCTTCGCAAACACCTGACAAAAAGAGACGAGTGGCCTCATCAAGAGACTTGACCTCCAGGCCAAGGCACCCAGCAGCAAGAACTAGCATATCATCTGGGGAAGCCAATGAGCGAAGAACGACAACCATCCGGTTTTCATTGGCAGAGTCAAAATGATTGTTGGATATGGCTACAAATGACATCCTGCACTTGTCCAGGAATGGGTGAAGCACCTTCAACACCATACTGTTTTTGCTTGGCAGGCCTGCTTCATCCAGCAGCACCACACAGCGCGTCTTTGTCTTTGCGGTGTGGTCATTGTTGTACATTTCTTGAAGCCGCTCAGCTTCAACTAGAACTTGCTTGATGTCGTTGCTGTTGGAATATTCTGAACACTGATAGAAATGACAGTGTAACTCGTCAAACTGCTGGCAGAACTCCTTCGGTGACACAAGTCCAAGCAGGTTGTCACGAACAATGTGAAAACTTAGTGTCTTGGACGCTCCAGGAGCACCGATGATACACATTGGAGTTTTGGTCTGGATACATGCTATTATCGCAAATACATTCTCCTTCAATGCTTGATTGAGAGCGACACCAGGTGGGATTACAAAGTTTTCCCTCGTCACAAACTGGTTCACAGCATGCTCAAACACTTTTGAGACCCTACTGCCAGTTGCGTCACCCAGATGGTTGTCGAAACTGGCACGGCAAACTCCATTGCCTTTTGGAGATTGGTCAGGAAGGCGCATATAGTACACCACACACACAGCAAGATAGATGCTAGTGCGCATCTTGGAGATGGGCTGCACCGGTGTTCTATTCAACTCTCCAGGCACATTTTGAGCACCCAGCACATGGAAGGATGAACATGCTTGAAAGAACGGAATGAGGCAAAACACTCTCTCGATGTCCCGGTGGCTGACAGATCCAAGGAGTTCCTTGTCCAAGAAAAACCTATGAGCGGCAAAAAGTATGGTAGGTAGTTGTGATTGGACAGCTGTTGGTTCACAAGCTGTACCATCATTCAGGTTGCACCATTGCATGGAAAGCCTTTTCTGAATATATTGTTCCAGTTCCGTGTTATTGTCCAGACCAGGATATTTCCACCTGAATGACACCATAGATGCTGGTAACTCATGTACAGTGTAGTTCCTCTCTCCAATGTCCATTACACTGGCGCTTTTACTCGCAGTCTTGACATGCTGCTCTCTAACAGCATTAGTGCCATGAGCATCTGAGGAGGTGTACGGGTTTATGGCAGCAACGAAGAAGATATTGTCTGGTAGTCTCTTGCCATTCAAGCTGTGATCAACGAGAATTTCTTTGTAGATTCCCAGGCAAGACGCTGTGTTGACCTCGTCAAAAAACACAACAAGCTGCGTGTGCTCTAATTGGGTGGCCAGCCGGCAAGGTGTCTGTAGAAACCTGTCAATCTCATGAGGTTGCACTCCGGGATGAACCAGCTGATGCCAAAGGAGAGGATGCACTTCGGCTTGTAAGAACAGCTTCAGTAAAGTGACAGACTCATCTCTGGTTGGTTTTGTGCTGTCTATCAGTGTCTTGAGAAAGCTACCAGGCGCAAGTGGTTTTAGACGTGGTATATCAGAATAGCATTGAGACATAAACGTCTGCAAATCTCTGATGAGCTGCTCACACAGAGCGCCTTGCAAACTTGTGCCTGTCGGTGCAGTGGTTTCACAGGAAGCCAGATTGTCCAGAACCCATTTCCAAATATCTACCAGCGCGTTTTGATCATAAGACTTTGCAAGAAGACCAGCCTTATACTTTGTGAGCTGTGATTGCTGTGAGGCCAATCGCATTGCATACTGCTGGTTCTGTAGTTTCTGTCCCAACCAATCAGAAAAGCGCTTCCTCAGTCGAGGTGCTTTGCTTCTTCCCAGACCTTGCTGCATTGCTTGCTCATCAAGAAGGTTTGCATAGAATTCCAGAAGAAACGTTTTTCCAGTGCCGGTTTCTCCTTCTATGACAAGAGGAATTCGTGCTTGTTTTCGCTCATGGATCATCAAGATCTTGTAAGCAGCATCCGGAGTTAACACAAAGTGTTCCTCGCGTAGCAGTTGTGATAACATAACCTTGTTGAGATGGAAAGTGTCTGTGATGTACTTTTCCCACCGATTCGAAGATGATTTTAGGATCTCTTCGGCTTCCTTGGTCATACGTTTGAAGCCAGCAGTAATCATCTGACGTGAAGTGTTTGCACACTCTGGATAGAGAGGCCACATTCTCTGATAAGCTGAATCAAATACCAAAAAGGATTGTCGACAATATCTCCAGGAGCATTCCAGATCCACTGTACATAGGTAGCGTGCCTCCGCAATGAATTGTTCAAATATATCGGATCCCATAGAAGGAAGGTCGAAGTGACGGAAGAATGACTTCTGTTCAAAATATTTGAATCGTCTCTGAAGGTATGCTACGAACATGGCCTGGACTCGCTTGTCACCTTTTAACAACATCGATGTTGGTGAGCTTGGTTTCATATCGATACTGAGCTTCCAGAGTTTGAGAAGTGACTCATTGAAGTCACGTTCACCCATTGGGATGCTGCTCAGATTTGGATATTCCTGGTCACCTTCCATTTTCTCATTGATTCGCTTTCTACCATTCCGTTTTGTGAGGTAACAGGCAGTGTATCTCGCAACAAGACGATCTCGATCTGACAAGATAAAATCGTGATGCTCATTGACCGCTTTCTCTTCAGCAAATAATGCTAACATTGGCAAGTGTTTTCTCAGGTAGTTCGAACCGGTGCTTGCCTGATTCGGTGGAGGGGGCACTTCAACCCACCATTTCCAATCGGAATCCCGAGGGATAGTGTGTGTTGAACCAGATGTTGGACTGATCAATGATCCTGTTACAAGCAAGTTGAAGAAGAGCATATCAACAATATCCCATGGCAAATGTGATGACAAGCTGAACAGAACAGTTGCTTGTCGGGGCAGTGAATTGAGCTTCTTGATAATGGAAGTGTAGTCAGGTACTCCGTTGATAGTGATAGTACATTGGAAAGACTTCACCTCATTGTGGATATATGTGGACTTTCCGACACCTGGCTTTCCAGTAACAGCAACTACTTTCGGACGCTTCACTTTCTTCAGAGCAGCCTCGATGGCCTTTGATTGCTGAGAGTCATTCATGTCATTGCCATCCCATAAAACACAACCAGGTAAAGATGTTGCACAGCAGTCCAGTAAGATGTAGTAAACATCAGCATGTTCTTTGTGTTCACTCAATCGCACTTGTTCTGTAGCCAAAGCTGAGCGTGTCTCCCTATTCAGCCGGTCAATGCCAATCAACACAAATGGCACAGATGTGACAAGAGTTGCGCGGGACACGAACTGTCTGAGTTCCTCTTCTGTAGTCTTCAGGGTACAGAACAGTAGCTGTGATTGGCATGGAAAGATGTAAGGTGCTTGTAAGAAGACTGACAAAACCTTGGTCAGAGCATTGTCAGTGTGTTGTTGCTGTCTTTGTTGATACTGATGATCAAAACGAAATGGCGCATACACATACTGTTTCCCTTCCTTGTGTGCAACGTTGTCTTGCTTTACACTGACCGTTGAATTGATGAGCTTGCACAATGCTGTTAGTAGTTGACAGCTATCCTGGTGACTTGATGCCGCAATGCCAGCATCTAGTATGCTCTCAGGACTCTCTATTTCAGTCAAAATAGACTGAGGTGAAAGTAAAATAGCTGTTGCACATTGTGCACTGGAATGTGCACTGGAATTTTCCATTCTAGTATCTAACATAGCCTGGGTACATGCCTGGCGTGGATTTCCAGGTTGCAATAAAGCCAACATGTGACCAATTTGGGACTTGGTGTAGAGACACAAAATATGGCAGCCATTGCTGCCGTCGCATACTTGCTTCAGCTCCTGACGCCAACACACTAATTCATCCATCATAGCATCTCGTTGGATTTCGATGCTGGAGACACTGCTGAGAGAAAACTCCAGGTGCTTGTGGCAGGCCGAATAGTTTGGATGTCCGTCCCTCTCCAATGCAAATAGTGTTTCTTTCAATGAGTCAATAGCATCCATCACCTTCAGGAACCCGAATGCTCTGTCTCTGACCATGGCATTGTTACTTTGGTTGCTGAATAGTAGTTGCTGTCTGAGAGCAAACAATTTTTCATCTGACAGGGTGATGAGTTGACTGTCATTTCCAACTTCTGTTACAGGCCGAAAGGCAAAGATGCATGTCGATGGCGTGCCCATATATTGAATTAGTTCTATTGTTACATGCCCTGTTTTCTTCAACACATCCACGAGCTCCAGTGCATTCTCAATGTGATTGGATTGAGCCTGACGGATCAAATGTTGGATGTGAGCTAGATTCTGACCAGCTGCTCTGACGTGAGCAATGTTCTCAGGCGTAGAACGTAACTCATTCACAACACATATCGCATCATGAAGATTGGATGGCTGATGTTGAATGAATGGAGCTAAGCACTCCCTACTAGCAATCAAATAGATCAGCAACCTAGATTCAATAGAATCTCCTAGAGTCAGACTAGTCAGCCGTTCACGTAAGTGACTAAATAGTTGTGGGTCTGTGCAAAGGTTGAATTCTGTCAGAAACGTTATCAGCCGAGATTGCTTTTGTACTTCTTCGACTAGCTCCATTTGGACTGAATCCAGATTTTTAAGAAGATTGTCCAAACGGCTGAACAACTTAATCACCTTCTTCGCAGAGAGATCATCGAGTTGTACCATCAAGAGATCCTGTATGACATCGATATCATCATCAGCATTATCTCCTGACGAGCTGATTTTCCCATAGGTTTTAAAAACTTCCAGGAGTGTCCGTGCCCAGGACAGATACTTCAGCACTGCAAAGCACTGCTCCAAAATTCCAATCAGTTCCTCAACTGCTTGACGGTTAATTATTATGGAGTATAGTGGAAAAGAGATCAGTGTTAAAACCCCTGCCTTCATATCAGCATGTCCGATTTGTTTGCTGATCAGGTGAAGTGATTTGACAGACACCTCCGATAACAAGATGCTACACATGAATGTATGAGAAGCTTGCAATTTGGACACCATCTCTTCAAGAGCACATTGAGATTCTGGCTGGCAGTACATGGCTAGAACTGCTGAAAACAGAGCACTAGTCTTCGTTGATAGAAAGTACTGCAAGAAGTTGTAGACCGTACAACCGGTAACAAAGTCCACTGCTGGAGAGATAGGCTGCAGTGTGCACTGTAGAGGCTTCAACATTGCACCTGCTGCTCCTAGTGCACTACAAAGGTCATGATACCAAAGACACTCATCCTCCTGTACACGTTGCAACATTTGCATTGACTGTTGATCCAGGTTGCTTACACCATGATTTTGTAACCAACGGATGGCTTTTAGTTGCTCTTCCAATTTGGAGTAGAGGTCGTCAACTGATGGGATAACCAAACCATCTTTAACTGTTGTTGCTGGAAACACGTTGAATGACTTCACAAGCTGGTGCTTTTCTTTGATGTATTGTCGACAGGTGTGTTTATTGTAATTACGCTCAGTGATACATTTGTAGTCATTTTCAATCATGCCCTTGATCTTTTGGAACCACAAAAACCAATTCCTGTCCAGGGGAATACCTTCCATGACAGTAAACTTGTCGTTGGTAGAGCTGTTGCTGAGGCTGGTGCTGGTGCTGCTCTTGCCTATGCCGCTGTTGTCGATGAGGCTCTTATTGCTGCCATTGCTGTCGCTGTTGCTAAGGCTGGTGCTGATGTTGCCACTGTCACTGCTATTTTCAATACTCTTGTTGCCATCATCCGTGACGCCACAAAGTTGAGAAAACAGGTAATGACATCGGCGCACTATGACATAAAAGTTGCCTAGTAACCACATCCTTGGGTTCGAAGCAAGACATTTATGAAATATCACGCTGTACAATGCCCATTCACATGAGTGCAGAAATAAAGGCCGTTTTGCAGATGAGACAAAGTTTGCCACAAAGCTGTTGATTGTGTCTTGAGGATTGGTGTTAAACCATGGAATTATCAAAGCTGATGCTTCTTGGCATAATTGTAACCACCAAATCCAGGCTAGTGAGGACTTTGTTGTGCTGGCTAGAGAATTTCCCAGTATAGACATTGCATCAACGAGGTATTGGGATACCTTTTGTATCTTTGTTGGCTCACAGCTTCTGTTTGCGTCTGATTGTCTAAACTGTTGAGATGTTCCGCCTAGGAGAGACCGTGACCATTCGTAGGACATTTTCTGCACTGCAGATTTAGCAGAATCATCCAGCTCGATAGTGCAGAGCTTTTTGCTGTATGTTAGTATATGGAATGTTCTCTGTGGGCATGCCGCCTTCAGAATTGAGATGATCCTGATGATGTTAGATTCAATGAGCATGGGTTGTTTGGAGGCAACAAGGTCCACAAGTCTGCCAAAGGTACCTGGTGTCTGCTCCAAGTTTGATTGCTGAGCTTGGTTTGCTCCTACCACACATGAGTCAAAAACAGCTGTTGCAAATTCTCTGCCCTTCCTTGGTAGATGCAGAAAGTAACTATGGATGAGTGTAGCAGGTATAGGCTCAGCTACCCGGCGTAAGTATTGCTTAAATGCAGCAAGTAGTGGCTCCACAATGGTTGTGGTGATTGTTTCATCCTGGATAACTTCAATTAGCAGTGCTGAGATTCCTTCAGCCCCACCATTTCGTGACACGGCTTGCAAGGCACAAAAAAGAACTTCAACTTCACATATTTTGGCCAAATGGATCAGCAGGCGGGCAGGCAGTTTGACGTCCTTGCACGGCAACAGGATATCAAAGACAGTCTTCCACAGCAAATTCCTGTCGAAATCGTGAACAAATTAACCATTGTACTGCTGAATAAGCTCACACGCCTTCATTGGAGACAGCTTATCTTGCTGAGTGGTAGCTGAAATGCTGTAGCGCCCTTTGATGATTAGACACATAGCTTGAACTCCAAGAGGAATGAACAATCCAGCCTGTTTACATTTGTCCAGTGTGTTCTGAAAACCATTCAAGAAGGTCCCTACAACTCCCTTGGATTGTAGCAGGGTGAAATGTTCTTGACGGAAGTGGTGCTCGCGCCAGAACGTCCACTGTTCGCCATTCAAGGAGCTGTGCTTGATGTCAAGTCGTAGCATTGTCTGATATGCCTCCATGACTCGTGTGCCTGGGTCGTAGAAATCAGTACAACTTGAGAGCTGCTGGGCAAGTTGTGCAAATACCTTGCGGCCTTTCGACTGCGTATTGAATTCCACAAGGGATCTCATGTTCTTTGTACACTTCTTTTCAGAGATGAACAGTGAATCAAGCTGGTCTGGGAAGCTAGCCATACAAGTAACAATACATTCTTGCAACATGGTAATCAGTGACTTTCTCATTGAAGTCTTGCCAAATTTCTGATAACCCATCCTTGCCAGGAGATTTTGTATTTGATCGTGAAGATACAGGAGGCATGGGATCATCTGAGCGGAGACGTCATCCATTTCCTTGAACATTGTTTGGAATACTTCACAGACTTGAGGTATACTATCGCAGAGCGTCTTGGACATGTCCGCCAAGTTGGCATTCCATTTGTTGAAGAGGACATGAAGAGCGTCAACATCTGGTGTGCCTGAAATTGATTGCGTCAGCAACAGATAATGCAGATCCATTGCCAAACTCGGATCCTGTGATTCTGTTGTGTTCAGTTTATTTAAGCGTGACCAAATTTCTCCAATCAAAGAGCCTGCCCAGGAAGGTTTAGTATCCGTTGAAATTTCCCTAAAGGGACGAAAACAGGTAAAAGAACATACCACAATCAGGCGGTGCGGAAACAAGCGTTTAATAATGCGATGAATAGAATTAACGAACTTGACATTGAAAAAAGTGGGTGACTCCAACGAGGAAAACACGCTACCTGCCGAACTTGACACTTGACTGACACACGACTGCCATCCGAGTGGAAGGTGCGACATGTTCCTCGTGTGCTCCGGATGGCAGTGGTGAGTCAGTCAAGTGTCAAGTTCGGCAGGAAGCGTGTGTTCGTCGTTGGAGCAACCAACTTCATCGCTAATACCGCCGAATCCGCAACTTCTAAGTTCGTATTGTTGTCCCTCGCGCGGACATGCAACCAATTGTTGGAGGTGACAGGGTTGTGAATAGCTACTGGCTCTCAGCGTCTGTTTAGCACAACTCCATGAGCAACTCTGACTCATGCTGCTACCTGGGGCCTCACGAGGTGTTTGTTGTGCTGGAAATGGAGGGTCTCTGTGAGTTTGTGAGTTTGAGTTTGTGGTTGGTGTTGCTGCTTTTTTCTGGAGCTCTAGCGCTCCTAAATGGTCATTTGCTTCGCTAGTTGCGGCTCATCACGAGCCAGGCACTTGCGGCTCTTCAGGAGCCAGTTGCTGCCAATTGTATTGGCATTGCTTTTCAACCTCCTTTTTGGCACAATGTGGGTTTATTGCGGCTCCTCGCGAGCCAGTTGCTACCGGTGGCCTGGCATTGCTTTCCAGCTCTTTGAGTTTTTGCATTACAAGACCAGTTCCAGTTCCTTGAATCAGCACACTATCTCCAAAACAAATCGAGCCGTGTTTCCTTGAGGGTGTGAGGGATACGGTGCTAACCGGTAAAGCAAGCCCACAAGTAAGGTGGTCGACCTACAACCTGTAAAATACAGTATTTTGATAACATACTTAGTATTTTGATGACATAATTAGTATTTTGATGACATCATAAGTATTTTGATGACATAATTATAGATGTGCATATCATTACTCACAGTTTCTCATTGTTGGGAACCAATATATTCTCCGTGTTGCTTCGTTGCATCTGACTGGAACGGACCACTTTCTGACCCGCTGCCCTGACATGTTCAATGGTCTCTGGAGTTGGTTGAAGCCGCTTAACTCTGCCAATGGCATCACAAAGGCTCGATGGTTTGGGCTGAATGAATGGAGCTAAGCAGTCATTGCTAGCAATCAGAGAGACCAGATAGCTGCAGTCCACAGACCCTCCACACGGCTGTCTGCGTAACCAGTGACATATGCGATCGCATAGCCTTGGATCAGTAAACACCTTGCGTTCTTTCAGCAGTTTAATCAGGTCTCCTTGTTTGTTCACCTCTGTCACTAAATCAAAGTGGATTTGATTAAAATCTTTGAACAGGTTCGCCACTTGTGTCAAAGACTTCACCATATCCTTCAAACACACGTCTCCAAGGCTCATAGACAAGAGATCATGGATGGTTTTGATATCTTCATCAGAGCTCTTTCCAGACGCAACAATTATTCCGTTGGTTTGGAACACATCCAGGATTGTTGGTGCCCAAGATAAGTACATCATTACCAACAATAGCTGCTCAATAGTTGCGAATAGGTCCTCTGCCCCACGGCTGTCGAGGAGTGGTGAATATGCTGGAAACGAAGACAAATTAGCAAGGTCCGCCTTCATATCAGCACGTCCGATTTGTTTGCTGATCAGGTGAAGTGATTTGACAGACACCTCCGATAACAAGATGCTACACATGAATGTGTGAGAAGCTTGCAATTTGGACACCATCTCTTCAAGAGCACATTGAGATTCTGGCTGGCAGTACATGGCTAGGACTGCTGAAAACAGAGCACTGGTCTTCGTTGATAGAAAGTACTGCAAGAAGTCGTCGACTGTGCAACCGGTAACAAAGTCCACTGCTGGAGCGATAGGCTGCAGTGTGCACTGTAGAGGCTTCAACATTGCACCTGCTGCTCCTAGTGCACTACAAAGGTCATGATACCAAAGACACTCATCCTCCTGTACACGTTGCAACATTTGCATTGACTGTTGATCCAGGTTGCTTACACCATGATTTTGTAACCAACGGATGGTTTTTAGTTGCTCTTCCAATTTGGAGTAGAGGTCGTCAACTGATGGGATAACCAAACCATCTTTAACTGTTGTTGCTGGAAACACGTTGAATGACTTCACAAGCTGGTGCTTTTCTTTGATGTATTGTCGACAGGTGTGTTTATTGTAATTACGCTCAGTGATACATTTGTAGTCATTTTCAATCATGCCCTTGATCTTTTGGAACCATAAAAACCAATTCCTGTCCAGGGGGATACCTTCCAAGACAGTAAACTTGTCGTTGGTAGAGCTGTTGCTGAGGCTGGTGCTGGTGCTGCTCTTGCCGATGCCGCTGTTGTCGATGAGGCTCTTATTGCTGCTATTGCTGTCGCTGTTGCTAAGGCTGGTGCTGCTGTTGCCACTGTCACTGCTATTTTCAATACTCTTGTTGCCATCGTCCGTTACGCCACAAAGTTGAGAAAACAGGTAATGACATCGGCGCACTATGACATAAAAGTTGCCTAGTAACCACATCCTTGGGTTCGAAGCAAGACATTTATGAAATATCACGCTGTACAATGCCCATTCACATGAGTGCAGAAATAAAGGCCGTTTTGCAGATGAGACAAAGTTTGCCACAAAGCTGTTGATTGTGTCTTGAGGATTGGTGTTAAACCATGGAATTATCAAAGCTGATGCTTCTTGGCATAATTGTAACCACCAAATCCAGGCTAGTGAGGACTTTGTTGTGCTGGCTAGAGAATTTCCCAGTATAGACATTGCATCAACGAGGTATTGGGATACCTTTTGTATCTTTGTTGGCTCACAGCTTCTGTTTGCGTCTGATTGTCTAAACTGTTGAGATGTTCCGCCTAGGAGAGACCGTGACCATTCGTAGGACATTTTCTGCACTGCAGATTTAGCAGAATCATCCAGCTCGATAGTGCAGAGCTTTTTGCTGTATGTTAGTAAATGGAATGTTCTCTGTGGGCATGCCGCCTTCAGAATTGAGATGATCCTGATGATGTTAGATTCAATGAGCATGGGTTGTTTGGAGGCAACAAGGTCCACAAGTCTGCCAAAGGTACTTGGTGTCTGCTCCAAGTTTGATTGCTGAGCTTGGTTTGCTCTTACCACACATGAGTCAAAAACAGCTGTTGCAAATTCTCTGCCCTTCCTTGGTAGATGCAGAAAGTAACTATGGATGAGTGTAGCAGGTATAGGCTCAGCTACCCGGCATAAGTATTGCTTAAATGCAGCAAGTAGTGGCTCCACAATGGTTGTGGTGATTGTTTCATCCTGGATAACTTCAATTAGCAGTGCTGAGATTCCTTCAGCCCCACCATTTCGTGACACGGCTTGCAAGGCACAAAAAAGAACTTCAACTTCACATATTTTGGCCAAATGGATCAGCAGGCGGGCAGGCAGTTTGACGTCCTTGCACGGCAACAGGATATCAAAGACAGTCTTCCACAGCAAATTCCTGTCGAAATCGTGAACAAAATAACCATTGTACTGCTGAATAAGCTCACACGCCTTCATTGGAGACAGCTTATCTTGCTGAGTGGTAGCTGAAATGCTGTAGCGCCCTTTGATGATTAGACACATAGCTTGAACTCCAAGAGGAATGAACAATCCAGCCTGTTTACATTTGTCCAGTGTGTTCTGAAAACCATTCAAGAAGGTCCCTACAACTCCCTTGGATTGTAGCAGGGTGAAATGTTCTTGACGGAAGTGGTGCTCGCGCCAGAACGTCCACTGTTCGCCATTCAAGGAGCTGTGCTTGATGTCAAGTCGTAGCATTGTCTGATATGCCTCCATGACTCGTGTGCCTGGGTCGTAGAAATCAGTACAACTTGAGAGCTGCTGGGCAAGTTGTGCAAATACCTTGCGGCCTTTCGACTGCGTATTGAATTCCACAAGGGATCTCATGTTCTTTGTACACTTCTTTTCAGAGATGAACAGTGAATCAAGCTGGTCTGGGAAGCTAGCCATACAAGTAACAATACATTCTTGCAACATGGTAATCAGTGACTTTCTCATTGAAGTCTTGCCAAATTTCTGATAACCCATCCTTGCCAGGAGATTTTGTATTTGATCGTGAAGATACAGGAGGCATGGGATCATCTGAGCGGAGACGTCATCCATTTCCTTGAACATTGTTTGGAATACTTCACAGACTTGAGGTATACTATCGCAGAGCGTCTTGGACATGTCCGCCAAGTTGGCATTCCATTTGTTGAAGAGGACATGAAGAGCGTCAACATCTGGTGTGCCTGAAATTGATTGCGTCAGCAACAGATAATGCAGATCCATTGCCAAACTCGGATCCTGTGATTCTGTTGTGTTCAGTTTATTTAAGCGTGACCAAATTTCTCCAATCAAAGAGCCTGCCCAGGAAGGTTTAGTATCCGTTGAAATTTCCCTAAAGGGACGAAAACAGGTAAAAGAACATACCACAATCAGGCGGTGCGGAAACAAGCGGTAAATAATGCGATGAATAGAATTAACGAACTTGACATTGAAAAAAGTGGGTGACTCCAACGAGGAACACACGCTACCTGCCGAACTTGACACTTGACTGACACACGACTGCCATCCGAGTGGAAGGTGCGACATGTTCCTCGTGTGCTCCGGATGGCAGTGGTGAGTCAGTCAAGTGTCAAGTTTGGCAGGAAGCGTGTGTCCGTCGTTGGAGCAACCAACTTCATCGCTAATACCGCCGAATCCGCAACTTCTAAGTTCGTATTGTTGTCCCTCGCGCGGACATGCGACTAATTGTTGGAGGTGACAGGGTTGTGAATAGCAACTGGCTCTCAGCGTCTGTTTAGCACAACTCCATGAGCGACTCTGACTCATGCTGCTACCTAGGGCCTCACGAGGTGTTTGTTGTGCTGGAAATGGAGGGTCTCTGTGAGTTTGAGTTTGTGGTTGGTGTTGCTGCTTTTTTTCTGGAGCTCTAGCGCTCCTAAATGGTCATTTGCTTCGCTAGTTGCGGCTCATCACGAGCCACTTGCGGCTCTTCAGGAGCCAGTTGCTGCCAATTGTATTGGCATTGCTTTTCAACCTCTTTTTTGGCACAATGTGGGTTTATTGCGGCTCCTCGCGAGCCAGTTGCTACCAGTGGCCTGGCATTGCTTTCCAGCTCTTTGAGTTTTTGCATTACAAGACCAGTTCCAGTTCCTTGAATCAGCACACTATCTCCAAAACAAATCGGGCCGTGTTTCCTTGAGTGTGTGAGGGATACGGTGCTAACTGGTAAAGCACGCCCACAAGTAAGGTGGTCGACCTACAACCTGTAAAATACAGTATTTTGATGACATACTCAGTATTTTGATGACAGAATTAGTATTTTGATGACATCATAAGTATTTTGATGACATAATTGAGCCGGCGCAAGCGAAAAGGGACCGTATCCTTGTAATCGAATTCCTTTCTACTTTAGGTCGGACCCTAGAGCACTACCAATTCCGTCTGTAGGCTCCCTCGATCCCTCACGACCACACACTCAAGACCCCAAATACGGCTTGTTTACAGGAATTAGTCTAAAAGGAGAGTAAAAAGATCCACAAAAGCCAGCCTGATGCCGCGAGGTTCATGCCCTCACGCGCATCAAAGAACCATAGCAAAAATGGCGCACAGCATGATCAGATCACATGATCATGCTCTGATCAGCGATTCAAAGCGAGTCAACATATGATAACTAAATTATTTGAATCTTTCGAAAAACTATGATGTCAAAACATCAGTACATTTAGAGAATTATTTGAACAAGATCGAAGGAGAAGATTGATTACTTTATAATGAACTGCAAATGATGCAATTCCATTACATCCTGCTGCACGTGATTTTGAGAAAACCGCACTTGAAGTGAATCAGCTGATTCTCAGCTGTCACGTTCGGATCGAACTTGAAACTGTTCGTTTTTTGGCGATACGCGACTTCTTTGGAGCTCAGTCATTCTTTGTATTGGAGAGCCAGTATCCTACAGCTCCTGTAGAAGAAAACCCTGGCTAAATCGACCCACGTACCACCGATCGGCGATCAAAATCGATCGACCGTGACCATACCAGGTGACACGTCGACACCTCCGCTGAATAAAATCGCACGCGCGAGCGGAAAGACAAAGAGTTGCTTTCACAGTTTCAGCGCAGTTGTCTTGCCGTCTTCGATTTCTGCTAAGTCCTTGGGTCGGCGTAGCTGTTCACTATGACCCATCGTAAATGTTTCACCGTGAACGAAGCGCTGAAATCTCTCCTGGAAGAGATGAGGCTGAAGTTTTTGGTGAGGAAGACGAGTCGGACGCCAGTGACGTTCGGTTCAACCTGACGACGGCGACAGTTTCTTCAGCAGCGAGTGGATGTCGACGCAGCAGCAGAGCTGTATGTCGGAAAGGCAGAGCCCAAACCTCCGAAGGCTAGTTCCGCAGCAGCTTGTGAAGCGACCGTTGCGCCGGCAGAGGAGGACGACACTGTTCGTCAAAAGTAGAACTGCGGATGTTCAAAAAATTGCTTGCAGCAATTTGACCCAGCTGACATCGAGACGTCGATCCTGAACATGAGAGTAATGGAGTCGCACGAGAGTGAGCTGGTGGTCCTGGGCCTTCTTGAAGCTTTGAGTAATCCTGAAACAGTTTTTGAGAGTGGAGAGAAGCGCAAGAGGGAGCGTTTTACCTACAAATTCCAAGGGCTGACTGTTTGTGTGGGTGCGTTCCGTCACGTGTACGCACTGTCTAGCAAGAGGCTGAAACGGTACAGAAGCCACCTGGAGAAGAATGGGCTTGCGCCACTAGTGCACGGCAACACAGGCAAACGGCCACACAATGTCCTGGAGTTTGCTGTTGTGAAGTACTGCGTGGAGTACATCACTCGGCACGCGGAAGTGTTTGGAATTCCACATCCTGCGCCACTCCGTGGCAGAGACGACACGCCACCTATCTTCCTTCCAGCGTCACAAACGTACAAGTCCGTGCATGCAGACTTCTGCGACTGCTGCCACAAGGAGGGTAAGAAGTCTGTATCCTTGTCGACGTTCCGCTCCATCTGGCACCAGACATTGCCGCATATTAAGTTCATGACGGCTCGCATGGATGTTTGCCCTGTGTGCGAGGACTTGCGGCGCAACGTAATGGCGGCTGGGAGTGAGGAGCAGAAGACGACTGCATGCATCAGCTGACTGACCATGTTCAGCTGTTGAAGACCACACCTGAGCAGGTGAGAGCGGCAGGCCTTCCCCAAGTGTTGCCCCCAGCAGGTCTGTCACAAGAACGCCAGAAGTACCTGTTCAAGGATATCCGGCCGTTTGTGGCAGACCCTTACAAGGATGAGCTGTGTCCGCCTGTGCCGGAGGAATGACAAACTTGCGTAGTGCAACACACGTTTTGAGCCTGATAATTGCTAAAGTCTGGTGCTGTGTCAAAGCTACATGCCTCAGAACATTCTATTCTTCTTGTTGTTAGATCTAAAATGCGGCGTGCCTGCGTGGTACGGAAGGACGTGATGGCCCATCAGACGTCACGCTTGGCACTATAAATTCCATCACAGTGAAACTTATGCCAACTGCCCAGTAGTGTGTGTTAACTGTATCCTCCAGCCCTTCTGCTGGTGACTCGAAGGCTTCTTTCTGTAAGGCTTTTATGGCCAAATTATTGCAATTTACGCATTTCAAAGATTATTCGTGAATATGTGCGATATTTTGGTGAAAACAGTGTTGATGTAAACGTCCGTAACTTTGCTATAATGTTGATGGATTTTCATTCGTTTTTTTATCTGATTCATACGTTCTCTGGCTACAAGAATCCGTTGCTAACTCAAAATGCCCAAAAAACGGATAAGGTCCCTTTTCGCTTGTGCTGGCTCAATTATAGATGTGCATATCATTACTCACAGTTTCTCATTGTTGGGAACCAATATATTCTCCGTGTTGCTTCGTTGCATCTGACTGGAACAGACCACTTTCTGACCGGCTGCCCTGACATGTTCAATGGTCTCTGGAGTTGGTTGAAGCCGCTTAACTCTGCCAATGGCATCACAAAGGCTCGATGGTTTGGGCTGAATGAATGGAGCTAAGCAGTCATTGCTAGCAATCAGAGAGACCAGATAGCTGCAGTCCACAGACCCTCCACACGGCTGTCTGCGTAACCAGTGACATATGCGATCGCATAGCCTTGGATCAGTAAACACCTTGCGTTCTTTCAGCAGTTTAATCAGGTCTCCTTGTTTGTTCACCTCTGTCACTAAATCAAAGTGGATTTGATTAAAACCTTTGAACAGGTTCGCCACTTGTGTCAAAGACTTCACCATATCCTTCAAACACACGTCTCCAAGGCTCATAGACAAGAGATCATGGATGGTTTTGATATCTTCATCAGAGCTCTTTCCAGACGCAACAATTATTCCGTTGGTTTGGAACACATCCAGGATTGTTGGTGCCCAAGATAAGTACATCATTACCAACAATAGCTGCTCAATAGTTGCGAATAGGTCCTCTGCCCCACGGCTGTCGAGGAGTGGTGAATATGCTGGAAACGAAGACAAATTAGCAAGCTCCGCCTTCATATCAGCACGTCCGATTTGTTTGCTGATCAGGTGAAGTGATTTGACAGACACCTCCGATAACAAGATGCTACACATGAATGTGTGAGAAGCTTGCAATTTGGACACCATCTCTTCAAGAGCACATTGAGATTCTGGCTGGCAGTACATGGCTAGGACTGCTGAAAACAGAGCACTGGTCTTCGTTGATAGAAAGTACTGGAAGAAGTCGTCGACTGTACAACCGGTAACAAAGTCCACTGCTGGAGAGATAGGCTGCAGTGTGCACTGTAGAGGCTTCAACATTGCACCTGCTGCTCCTAGTGCACTACAAAGGTCATGATACCAAAGACACTCATCCTCCTGTACACGTTGCAACATTTGCATTGACTGTTGATCCAGGTTGCTTACACCATGATTTTGTAACCAACGGATGGTTTTTAGTTGCTTTTCCAATTTGGAGTAGAGGTCGTCAACTGATGGGATAACCAAACCATCTTTAACTGTTGTTGCTGGAAACACGTTGAATGACTTCACAAGCTGGTGCTTTTCTTTGATGTATTGTCGACAGGTGTGTTTATTGTAATTACGCTCAGTGATACATTTGTAGTCATTTTCAATCATGCCCTTGATCTTTTGGAACCACAAAAACCAATTCCTGTCCAGGGGAATACCTTCCATGACAGTAAACTTGTCGTTGGTAGAGCTGTTGCTGAGGCTGGTGCTGCTCTTGCCGATGCCGCTGTTGTCGATGAGGCTCTTATTGCTGCCAGTGCTGTCGCTGTTGCTAAGGCTGGTGCTGCTGCTGTCACTGTCACTGCTATTTTCAATACTTTTGTTGCCATCATCCGTGACGCCACAAAGTTGTGAAAACAGGTAATGACATCGGCGCACTATGATATAAAAGTTGCCTAGTAACCACATCCTTGGGTTCGAAGCAAGACATTTATGAAATATCTCGCAGTACAATGCCCATTCACATGAGTGCAGAAATAAAGGCCGTTTTGCACATGAGACAAAGTGTACCACAAAGCTGTTGATTGTGTCTTGAGGATTTGTGTTAAACCATGGAATTATCAAAGTTGATGCTTCTTGGCATAATTGCAACCACCAAATCCAGGCTAGTGAGGACTTTGTTGTGCTGGCAAGAGAATTTCCCAGCATAGACATTGCATCTATGAGGTATTGGGATACCTTTTGCATCTTTGTTGGCTCACAGCTCCTGTTTGAGTCAGATTGTGTGCGCTGTTGAGACGTTCCGCCTAGGAGAGACCGTGACCAACCGTAGGACATTTTCTGCACTGCAGATTTAGCAGAATCATCCAGCTCGATAGTGCAGAGCTTTTTGCTGTATGTTAGTATATGGAATGTTCTCTGTGGGCATGCCGCCTTCAGAATTGAGATGATCCTGATGATGTTAGATTCAATGAGCATGGGTTGTTTGGAGGCAACAAGGTCCACAAGTCTGCCAAAGGTACCTGGTGTCTGCTCCAAGTTTGATTGCTGAGCTTGGTTTGCTCCTACCACACATGAGTCAAAAACAGCTGTTGCAAATTCTCTGCCCTTCCTTGGTAGATGCAGAAAGTAACTATGGATGAGTGTAGCAGGTATAGGCTCAGCTACCCGGCGTAAGTATTGCTTAAATGCAGCAAGTAGTGGCTCCACAATGGTTGTGGTGATTGTTTCATCCTGGATAACTTCAATTAGCAGTGCTGAGATTCCTTCAGCCCCACCATTTCGTGACACGGCTTGCAAGGCACAAAAAAGAACTTCAACTTCACATATTTTAGCCAAATGAATCAGCAAGTGGGCAGGCAGTTTGATGTCCTTGCACGGCAACAGGATATCAAAGACAGTCTTCCACAGCAAATTGCTGTCGAAATCTTCAACAAAAAAACCATGGAACAGCTCAACAAGCTCATATACCTTCATTGGAGACAGCTCATCTTGCTGAGTCGTAGTTGAAATGCTGTAGAGCCCTTTGATGATTTGACACATAGTCTGAACTCCAAGAGGAATCAACAATCCAGCCTGTTTACATTTGTCCAGTGTGTTCTGAAAACCATTCAAGAAGAGATTCGAATCTTGCTGTGTTGTCAAACAGCTGAAAAACTCACGATGAAAATGATGCTCATGCCAGAATGTCCATTGCTTTCCATTCTGCATGTTGTATTTCATGTCAAGACGCAGAAGGGTGAGATAGGCCTTCATGGTACGTTTCCCTGGATTACAGAAATCACTGCAAATCGAGAGCTGCTCAGCAAGTGATGCAAACACACTTTGTTCTTCGGACTGTGTATTGAATTCCACAAGGCATCTCATGTTCTTTGTACATTTGTTATCAGCGATGAACAGTGAGTCCATATTGTCTGGAAAGCCAGCCAGAGAATTGACTAGGGATTCTTGGAGAGAAGTGCTGAGTGAGTCTTTCTTGGATATTCTATTAGCAAAGGAACTCCAGTCAGTCAAATTTGACAACAGTTGTCCAAGTTGACATTGAAGATGTATTAGGCATGGGCACAAGTGTTCTGGGACTCTATTCTCGTTCTTGAACACCAACTCGACTACCTGGCAGAGTTGAGTAAGATCATCATCGAACCGTTCATTTCCTTGTGAATGAACCAGGTTGTCTGTCTTCCATTTGTGAAAGAGATCATTCAGAGCTGTTACATCTGATGTGCCTAATGCCAATTGCTTCAGCAAGACATCATGTAGTTCCATTGCCATAGGTGAACTGCTGAATGCTGATGTGATCAGTCGTCTAAAGCGTGATCCAAGTGCTGTCAAAATGATCCTGAAGGAACACAAAATACAATGCCACACTTGTTACCTTCCGGTAGTTCACAATGTCTCACGCAGAGTGATCAAGTTACACCTGCAACAAGACACATCTGTGGGAAATAATTTCTACACTTAAAAAAAGGCATGGGGCTCCCGCCATGCTAGTATGGGGGTGAAGTATGTGGGTTACAGTGAGGGCTGTGTCCCAACCGCCTGTCTTCCATTCACAGGAAGCGTCAGTTTCGAAGTCTGAAAAAAATGTTGAACGGTCTCTGCTGGGATGATAGCGACACCATAGCTCAGTGGTTAGAGCATCGCTGGCCGCAAGCGGAAGTCCCTGGTTCGAGTCCTGGTGGTGACAGTCAATTTTTCTTCATACTTTCCTCGTTTGCATCTTTCCCTCAAACGAATGTATGCATTTTTAAAAAGCTGGTATATTTCTTGCCGGCGATGCGGATCAAGAAAGGCGAGAAATGATTACATATGCAACATTACTAATTTTCTATTGCAAACATCGCACCGTTTGTGTCTTTCCCTCAAACTAGTGAAGGTCGCACCAGATGCTTCTTTTTATCGTTGTTCATTTCTGTTGCCTTCCTCAGTCAGTGTTTGAGTTTCACCGGCATGCACTGTTTTTTTTTCATTTACATAGGATCTCGGCCTCCAGCCGAGTCTGATGTTGAACCGTGAATTCTTTTTTTATTTTTAGGGTTTTCTTGCAAGGCCCTTTTTCATGATGCCTTAAGGTGGCTCGGCCCACATGCGCGCGCATCGAAAAAAGTACCTACTGCTGGCACGCGAGCGAAGCGTGCTAGTACTTTTGTAAGCGCGACTTGAACCCTGCAAACGTAACATTTGTACTTTTCCGCGTGCTCTCTTCAAACTTCAAATTGTTGGGCTTTGTGTTTTGATTCTCCTTGCTTCTGCCATGGCGTTTGTAATGGCTCCTTTTCCTTTCTTCGTCTAGTATAGCCAGTTCGTTCGACTTAGTTCTAGCACTGGGCTGCCAATAATAGTGTTCGAAGCTGGTGTTCCAAGGAGAGAGTTGCATGTCGCACTCAGTCTTTCGTGAGAAATAACACGACAAAATAAGTCGAGCCTGTTGTGGAGTCTGAGACTGGTGAGTCTTGAAGAACCAGAGCTCTGGCCAGAATGAGGCAGAAGGATGCAAAGGGGAAGTCGTGCTAATGCCCGAGGATGTCCTGGTAGGACGAAGGTATGTGTCACACCGTTTTTTATTTGTTGATTTCCGCCTGGCATGGTCACCTCGACGTTCGTAATAGATGTTCACCCACTACTGATCGTCGAGGTGTCCTTGTCAGCCACGTAAACTATTCCTTCTTGGACATCGACGATTGAATTCTCTGGGTGTGTTCGGATCGTGGAGTTGAGATTACTAGATGAAAGGTTGTATTGTGTCATAGTCTTCCTGTTTTCATTATCCATCTACATGTATGTTTTCGTTCGTCATTTTTTGTTGTCCGATCTGTCTTGTGTTGGAACCATTGCTGTATTGCGACAGTACTGCACTATTGACTGTGTGAGCAGAATGCCACCTTAGAAGATACAGTCTGGTTGTACATATTGGCTGTGTAACTTTTACATTAGTTTATATTGATTGCATGCATATACCATAAAATCCACAAAACACACAACCCAATTGTCACAGTGATATTTATTTATCACTACATTATCACTGCGGTAAGTCCTAGTTTATACTATTGGACAATGAATCTAATTCTGTGAACTATGTGTTCCCAGACTTATTCACTGAATACATGTTCCATTCTTGAACCATGGTGCAGAATACATACGTATTTGTACTATATTTCTGCAATTGGTGGAAAGCCAGAAAGTACAGCTTCAACATATGAAGGAGGAGATTCGAGAACTGAGGTCATCGCCTGCCATGGCCCCTGATCCTAATCATCAACAATCAATGTCCTCGTTTGTGTCTAAAGCTGCCGACAAAAGCAAGCCAGATTATATCCACCCGCGGACAACTTTCAAAATGGTGCTTTAGAAGAACCTGAAAGGTGTCCTCTCGCTTAGGGCGATGACATTTTTGTCTCGAGGAATTTCTTTAAGCTGCAGGAAGCGTTCCAACGGATTCTGGGTTAGACTACTTCATCGAACATTTCCTTGTAAAAAAATAAATAAATTTCACGGTTCGCGTGAGACTCGGCTGGAAGCCGAGTTTTCCGCATCCGCCGTGGGAACGCCACCACCCTCTGGGATCAAAGGCAAAGATCAAATTTCTTGTAATACCATAGTCAAGAATAGATCCTGGGGATCCTCCACCGAATGAATCAATTATGGGGTACTAGCTGTGCCAGTACTTGTTAGCAACAATCCGAACTAGCGCACACATTGCACTGCATTGTTGCTTTGTACTGCATTCAAGACTGACGTCATGCGCTTTGTTTTGCTGCGTAATCATAAATGGCACCGGCCCGTTTTTGCTGAAAAGAAAAACAAATCTTGCTTGCCCTGTTGTGCTCTTCCAGACAACGGATTGTGCTTCAGCAGTGTTTCTTTTCCCACCATCCCTCCCTATCCAACTTATTCACACCATCATTATAATTATTGTACCAACTAATCGGGTCCACTCTCACAACTGGTGTTATCTAGCTATTTGCTGCGGCTCTGCCTTGCGCTATAGTACATCCATTTAGCATTGCAGCTCTACGTTGAGCTAACAGCAGCTCTACTTTGAGCTAACAGCAGCTCTACTTTGAGCTAACAGCAGCTCTACTTTGAGCTAACCGCAGCCCTACTTTGAGTTAACAGCAGCTCTACTTTGAGCTAACAGCAGCTCTACTTTGAGCTAACAGCAGCTCTACTTTGAGCTAACAGCAGCTCTACTTTGAGCTAACCGCAGCCCTACTTTGAGTTAACAGCAGCTCTACTTTGAGCTAACAGCAGCTCTACTTTGAGCTAACAGCAGCTCTACTTTGAGCTAACAGCAGCTCTACTTTGAGCTAACAGCAGCTCTACGTTGAGCTAACCGCAGCTCTACTTTGAGCTAACACCTACTCTGCTCTGAGCTAACACCTGCTCTGCTCTGAGCTAACACCTGCTCTGCTCTGAGCTAACAGCAGCTCTGCTCTGAGCTGACAGCAGCTCTACTTTGAGCTTCAAACCACTGTTGTTTCGAAACTAGCACTCGTCAATCCAAAGATGCCTCTTTGTTGACTTTTTTGTGTGAGGGATGGGGCTAAGAGGGTGATTATGCGCATGTGTGAGTGCATGCATGTGTGTGTGTGTGTGTGTGTGTGTGTGTGTGTGCGTGTGTGTGTGTGTGTGTATGTGTGTGTGTGTGCGTGTGTGTGTGTGTGTGTGTGTGTACATGTATGTGTATGTGTGCGAGTGTGCATGTGTGCATGCATAGATGTGTGTGTGTTTGTGTGTGTTTGTGTTTGTGTGCCATACATGTGGGTACGTACAAAGATGCTGGCGTGTACACAAGTGCTTTGGCTAAGAAATGCTTAATTAAGAGGTTACTTACGGGTCGTAACTACCATCACATTGAGCCTGACAAATTCGGGCAAGATACTGTCCAGCTGTTACAACATCTTCAATGCTCTCTGTCGTTAGTTGAAGCTGTGTCACTCTACCCATTGCATCATTGAGACTGGAGGGCTGATGAGGAACAAACGGGTCTAAGTACTCCTGGCACGTTATCAGACAGGTGAGAAAACTGGATTCCTGTGGCTCTGTGATTGTCTGACAACTGATATGTTGATGTAAGTGATCATTCAGGTCTGGGTACGTGAAAAGGTTGGATTCCTTCAGGAACTGGACCAGACTAGACTGCAGCTGCATTTCTCGAATTAGTTCCATATGGTCAGAATCGAGGTCTTTGAAAAAGTCTGGCAGTTGATTGAAAACTGCTGTCGCACTCTTCAAAGGGAGGCAATCAAGGCTGACAGACAAGAGCTCTTGGATTGCTTTGATATCATTGTCAGTGGTACTTGCTGAAACACTAATCATTCCGTTGGTTTGGAACACATCCAGGATTGTTGGTGCCCAAGACCTATACCTCATTACTGACATTAGCTGCTCAATAGTTGCGAATAGGTCCTCTGCCCCATGGCCGTCCAGGAGTGGTGAATATGTTGGAAACGAAGACAACTTAGCAAGCTCTGCCTTCATATCCGCATGTCCGATTTGTTTGCTAATGAGATGAAGTGATTTGACAGACACCTCCGACAACAAGATGCTACACATGAATGTGTGAGAAGCCTGCAATTTGGACACCATCTCTTCAAGAGCACATTGAGATTCTGGCTGGCAGTACATGGCTAGGACTGCTGAAAACAGAGCACTGGTCTTCGTTGATAGAAAGTACTGCAAGAAGTCGTAGACTGTACAACCGGTAACAAAGTCCACTGCTGGAGAGATAGGCTGCAGTGTGCACTGTAGAGGCTTCAACAGCCCATCGGCGGATGAATACGCAGAGCAAAGATCAATGTACGTAGGCGCCTTCACAGCTTGGATTCTTTCAAGTTGGTCAACAATGTGCTGGTCAAGGTTGTTAACACCACTCTTTTTAAGCCAATGTATTGTACGCAGCATATCTTCAAGGTGTTGGTGTTTTGCACGAAGATTTGCTGGCACATCATGTTCCTGGAAAGCGGTAAGATCAAACACACTGAAAACGTTGTTGAGCTGTTGACGTTCTGTCATATAAACTTTCCAGGAAGTATCATCATTGGTCATGCTGATGTTAATGTGGTCTTGATGTATGGCATTTTTGATATTCCAATACCACTGGAAGCAGTCTTTATCCAGAAGATTTTGTGACGAAAAGCACTTGTCTTCATGGCAACCATTGAAAGTGTCGTTACCGCTAAAGCTATTGCTTGCTCCAGTGTTGTTTGCAGTGCTTTGTTCTTTTAGATCAATAGTTTCACTGCAATTTTCGTCACCGCAGAGTCCACCACCCCTTTCAGTGCAGTCACAGCTTCCACTCCTGTGGTTGCTACTTTTGCAGCCATTTCCAGAGAAACTGGACATGGCTGTACTGCCGCTGGTACTGCTGCTGGTGCTGCTGCCGGTGCTGCCGCCGGTGCTGCCGCCGGTGCTGCCGCCGGTGCTGCGGCCGGTGCTGCGGCCGGTGCTGCCGCCGGTGCTGCCGGTACTGCCGTCGGTACTGCCGCAGGTACTGCCGCCGGTACTGCCGCCGGTACTGCCAGTACTGCGCCCGGTGCTGCTGACGGTACTGCCGCCGGTACTGCCGCAGGTGCTGCCGCCGGTGCTGCCGCCGGTGCTGCCGCCGGTGCTGCCGCCGGTGCTGCCGCCGGTGCTGCCGCCGGTGCTGCCGCCGGTGCCGCCGCCGGTGCCGCCGCCGGTGCCGCCGCCGGTGCCGCCGCCGGTGCCGCCGCCGGTGCCGCCGCCGGTGCCGCCGCCGGTGCCGCCGCCGGTGCCGCCGCCGGTGCCGCCGCCGGTGCCGCCGCCGGTGCCGCCGCCGGTGCCGCCGCCGGTGCCGCCGCCGGTGCTGCCGCCGGTGCTGCCGCCGGTGCTGCCGCCGGTGCTGCCGCCGGTGCTGCCGCCGGTGCTGCCGCCGGTACTGCGGCCGGTCCTGCTGCCTGTGCTGCTGCCGGTGCTGCTGCCGGTGCTGCGGCCGGTGCTGCTGCCGGTGCTGAGGCCGGTGCTGCTGCCGGTGCTGCTGCCGGTGCTGCTGCCGGTGCTGCTGCCGGTGCTGCTGCCGGTACGGCTGCCGGTACTGCTGCCGGTGCTGCTGCCGGTGCTGCTGCCGGTGCTGCTGCCGGCGCTGCTGTCATTACTGCTGCCGGTGCTGCTGTCAGTTCTGCTGCCGGTACTACTGCCGGAACTGCTGCCGGTACTGCCGCCGGTGCTGCTGCCGGTACTGGCGCCGGTACTGCTGCCGGTGCTGCTGCCATTACTGCTGCCGGTGCTGCTGCCGGTGCTGCTGTCAGTACTGCTGCCTGTACTGCTGCCGGTGCTGCTGCCGGTGCTGATGCCGGTACTGCTGCTGGTGCTGCTGCCGTTGCTGCTGGCGGTACTGCTGTCAGTACTGCTGCCGGTGCTGCTGCCGGTGCTGATGCCGGTGCTGCTGCCGGTGCTGCTGCCGGTGCTGCTGCCGGTGCTGCTGCCGGTGCTGCTGCCGGTACTGCCGCCGGTACTGCCGCCAGTACTGCTGCCGGTGCTGCTGCCGGTGCTGATGCCGGTACTGCTGCCAGTGCTGCTGCCGGTGCTGCTGCCGGTGCTGCCGCCATTACTGCTGCCGGTGCTGCTGTCAGTACTGCTGCCGGGACTGCTGCCGGTGCTGCTGCTGCCGGTACTGCTGCCGGTGCTGCTGCCATTACTGCTGCCGGTGCTGCTGTCAGTACTTCTGCCGGTGCTGCTGTCAGTACTACTGCCGGTACTGCTGCCGGTGCTGCTGCCGGTGCTGCTGCCGGTGCTGCTACCGGTACTACTGTCAGTACTGCTGCCGGCGCTGCTGCCGGTGCTGATGCCGGTACTGCCGCCGGTGCTGATGCCGGTACTGCCGCCGGTACTGCTGCCGGTACTGCTGCCGGTGCTGCTGTCAGTACTGCTGCCGGTACTGCTGCCGGTGCTGCTGCCGGTGCTGCTGCCGGTGCTGCTGCCGGTACTGCTGCCGGTACTGCTGCCGGTACTGCTGCCGGTGCTGCTGCCATTACTGCTGCCGGTGCTGCTGTCAGTACTTCTGCTCGTGCTGCTGTCAGTACTACTGCTGGTACTGCTGCCGGTGCTGCTGCCGGTGCTGCTGCCGGTACTGCTGCCGGTGCTGCTGCCGGTGCTGCTGCCGGTACTGCTGTCAGTACTGCTGCCGGTGCTGCTGCCGGTGCTGATGCCGGTAATGCTGCCGGTACTGCTGCCGGTACTGCTGCCGGTGCTGCTGTCAGTACTGCTGCCGGTGCTGCTGCCGGTGCTGCTGCCGGTGCTGCTGCCGGTACTGCCGCCGGTACTGCCGCCGGTGCTGCTGTCAGTACTGCTGCCGGTGCTGCTGCCGGTGCTGATGCCGGTACTGCTGCCGGTGCTGCTGCCGGTGCTGCTGCCGTTGCTGCCGCCGGTGCTGCCGCCGGTGCTGCCGCCGGTGCTGCTGCCGGTGCTGCTGCCGGTACTGCTGCCGGTGCTGCTGCCGGTGCTGCTGCCGGTGCTGCTGTCAGTACTTCTGCCGGTGCTGCTGTCAGTTCTACTGCCGGTACTGCTGCCGGTGCTGCTGCCCGTGCTGCTGCCGGTGCTGCTGCCGGTACTGCTGTCAGTACTGCTGCCGGTGCTGCTGCCAGTGCTGATGCCGGTACTGCCGCCGGTACTGCTGCCGGTACTGCTGCCGGTACTGCTGCCTGTGCTGCTGCCATTACTGCTGCCGGTGCTGCTGCCGGTGCTGCTGTCAGTAGTTCTGCCGGTGCTGCTGTCAGTACTACTGCCGGTTCTGCTGCCGGTGCTGCTGCCGGTGCTGCTGCCGGTGCTGCTGCCGGTGCTGCTGCCGGTGCTGCTGTCAGTACTGCTGCCGATGCTGCTGCCGATGCTGCTGCCGGTGCTGCTGCCGGTGCTGCTGCCGGTATTGCCGCCGGTACTGCTGCCGGTGCTGCTGCCGGTGCTGCTGCCGGTGCTGCTGCCGGTGCTGCTGCCGGTGCTGCTGCCGGTGCTGCTGCCGGTACTGCTGCCGGTGCTGCTGCCGGTGCTGCTGCCGGCGCTGCTGTCATTACTGCTGCCGGTGCTGCTGTCAGTTCTGCTGCCGGTACTACTGCCGGAACTGCTGCCGGTACTGCCGCCGGTGCTGCTGCCGGTACTGGCGCCGGTACTGCTGCCGGTGCTGCTGCCATTACTGCTGCCGGTGCTGCTGCCGGTGCTGCTGTCAGTACTGCTGCCTGTACTGCTGCCGGTGCTGCTGCCGGTGCTGCTGCCGGTACTGCTGCTGGTGCTGCTGCCGTTGCTGCTGGCGGTACTGCTGTCAGTACTGCTGCCGGTGCTGCTGCCGGTGCTGATGCCGGTGCTGCTGCCGGTGCTGCTGCCGGTGCTGCTGCCGGTGCTGCTGCCGGTGCTGCTGCCGGTGCTGCTGCCGGTACTGCCGCCGGTACTGCCGCCAGTACTGCTGCCGGTGCTGCTGCCGGTGCTGATGCCGGTACTGCTGCCAGTGCTGCTGCCGGTGCTGCTGCCGGTGCTGACGCCATTACTGCTGCCGGTGCTGCTGTCAGTACTGCTGCCGGGACTGCTGCCGGTGCTGCTGCTGCCGGTACTGCTGCCGGTGCTGCTGCCATTACTGCTACCGGTGCTGCTGTCAGTACTTCTGCCGGTGCTGCTGTCAGTACTACTGCCGGTACTGCTGCCGGTGCTGCTGCCGGTGCTGCTGCCGGTGCTGCTGCCGGTACTGCTGTCAGTACTGCTGCCGGCGCTGCTGCGGGTGCTGATGCCGGTACTGCCGCCGGTGCTGATGCCGGTACTGCCGCCGGTGCTGCTGCCGGTACTGCCGCCGGTGCTGCTGTCAGTACTGCTGCCGGTACTGCTGCCGGTGCCGCTGCCGGTGCTGCTGCCGGTGCTGCTGCCGGTACTGCTGCCGGTACTGCTGCCGGTACTGCTGCCGGTGCTGCTGCCGGTGCTGCTGTCAGTACTTCTGCTCGTGCTGCTGTCAGTACTACTGCTGGTACTGCTGCCGGTGCTGCTGCCGGTGCTGCTGCCGGTACTGCTGCCGGTGCTGCTGCCGGTGCTGCTGCCGGTACTGCTGTCAGTAATGCTGCCGGTACTGCTGCCGGTACTGCTGCCGGTGCTGCTGTCAGTACTGCTGCCGGTGCTGCTGCCGGTGCTGCTGCCGGTGCTGCTGCCGGTACTGCCGCCGGTACTGCCGCCGGTGCTGCTGTCAGTACTGCTGCCGGTGCTGCTGCCGGTGCTGATGCCGGTACTGCTGCCGGTGCTGCTGCCGGTGCTGCTGCCGGTGCTGCCGCCGGTGCTGCCGCCGGTGCTACTGCCGGTACTGCTGCCGGTACTGCCGCCGGTGCTGCTGCCATTACTGCTGCCGGTGCTGCTGCCGGTGCTGCTGTCAGTACTTCTGCCGGTGCTGCTGTCAGTTCTACTGCCGGTACTGCTGCCGGTGCTGCTGCCCGTGCTGCTGCCGGTGCTGCTGCCGGTACTGCTGTCAGTACTGCTGCCGGTGCTGCTGCCAGTGCTGATGCCGGTACTGCCGCCGGTACTGCTGCCGGTACTGCTGCCGGTACTGCTGCCTGTGCTGCTGCCATTACTGCTGCCGGTGCTGCTGCCGGTGCTGCTGTCAGTAGTTCTGCCGGTGCTGCTGTCAGTACTACTGCCGGTTCTGCTGCCGGTGCTGCTGCCGGTGCTGCTGCTGGTACTGCTGCCGGTGCTGCTGCCGGTGCTGCTGTCGATGCTGCTGCCGATGCTGCTGCCGGTGCTGCTGCCGGTGCTGCTGCCGGTGCTGCTGCCGGTACTGCCGCCGGTGCTGCTGCCGGTGCTGCTGCCGGTACTGCTGCCGGTGCTGCTGCCGGTGCTGCTGCCGGTGCTGCTGCCGGTGCTGCTGCTGCCGGTACTGCCGCCGGTACTGCCGCCGGTACTGCCGCCGGTGCTGCTGCCGGTGCTGCTGCCGGTGCTGCTGCCGGTACTGCGGACAGTACTGCGGCCGGTGCTGCTGCCGGTGCTGCTGCCGTTGCTGCGGCCAGTGCTGCTGTCGGTGCTGCTGCCGGTACTGCTGCCGGTGCTGCTGCCGGCACTGCTGCCGGTGCTGCTGCCGGTACTGCTGCCGGTACTGCTGCCGGTGCTGCTGCCGGTGCTGCTGCCGGTGCTGCTGCCGGTGCTGCTGCCGGTGCTGCTGCCGGTACTGCTGCCGGTACTGCTGCCGGTGCTGCTGCCGGTGCTGCTGCCGGTACTGCCGCCGGTACTGTCGCCGGTACTGTTGCCGGCGCTGCTGCCGGTGCTGCTGCCGGCGCTGCTGTCATTACTGCTGCCGGTACTGCTGCCGGTGCTGCTGCCGGTACTGCTGCCAGTACTGTGGGCGGTACTGCCGCCGGTACTGCTGCCGGCGCTGCTGACAATATTGCCGCCGGTGCTGCTGCCGGTGCTGCTGTCCGTACTGCTGCCGGTACTGTGGGCGGTACTGCTGTCAGTACTGTCACAACTGCTGCTGGGACTGTCACCACTGTTGCTGTTTGGACTGTCACCACTGTTGCTGCTGGGACTGGTGTTGCTGCTGGGACTGGAGTTGCTGCTGGGACTGGAGTTGCAATTAGCACTTTTGCAAATTGGGTCACAGCAAAGATGTGAAATCAAATATTGACATCTTCTGACAATGATGTGGCAGTGTCCTTGTAGCCACATTCTTGGATTGATGGCAATGCAAGCCTGGAGGAACTTGGTATACAGCAACCATTCGCACACATGTAGGAATGCTGGCCGGTTTGAAGATTCCACGAAATATTTCACAAAGCTGTCCAGCGTTTGCTGAGGATATTCAATGTACCTTGCGATTAGAAATTCAGATGCTTCGGCACAGAGCTTCTTCCACAAAACCCAAGCCAATGACTGCTCTGTCACTCTTGCTTGGCTTTCTTCTAAGGCTTTCATGCAGTCGATGATGGCAGTTGACAATGTCTGAATTTGTTGGGATGGCACCAACAATTTATCGCGGGATGACTGCAGAATATCACTGCCTGGGAGTAGGTCAGGACCATGATGATCACTATTTGTGGGCAATTTCCGAGTGTTGAGTACATCATTTACCTTCACCTGCATACTATCAGTCAGTTGGACATTGCGAAGAAACAAGCTGTAACGCAGAACATCAAAAATCAAGCTTGGGTTTTCCTGCTTGAGAAGCAGTACAATTGCGCTGATGTTGGATTCCACAAGGGTGGGTTGGATTCTAGACACACTGTCAACAAGGCAGCCAAAGTCATGTGCGTCATTTAACAACTGCCTCTGTTGATCTAGGGTAGCCTCCAGGACACAAACGTTGAACATTGCTTTCACAAGTGGCTCGCCTTTCTCGGGAAGATCCAAGAAGAACCTCTCAATTAGTGTGGCAGGAACAACTTCAGTTGATGTTTGCAAATATTTCTCAAATGCTGCTAACAGGCATTCACTGATGACTGTCGTGAGAGCATCATCACTGTAAATTTCTTTCAATAGTGAAAGAATGCAGCTGATGCCACCATGGCGTGACACCGCTTGTAAGGCGCGCACAAGAATATCAACATCACAGAGTATAGCAAGGCTGATCAGCAAACTGGAGCTCAGCATAACGTCAGTGTATGGTGTCAGATAGCCAAAGACAGTCTTCCACAGCAACGCACAATCAGACTCATCCATAATAAAGTCCTGCAGTTGGTGAGCTAACTCGCATGCTCTTTGCGAAGGAAAGTGGTCTTCTTCAGTGGTGTATGAACCGTTGTAGAGCCCTTTGAGGAGTTGAGAAGCAGGTTGAGAACCAAGAGGAATCAACGACTCAGCCAGTTTGCATTCGTTTAGTAATCGGCAAAGTCCGTTCAAGTAGAGTTCCGAGTCTTGCGGTGTTTTCAATTGGCTCAACAACTCATGATGGAAATGACGTTCGTTCCAGAATGTCGATTGTTTTCCATTCAGAATGTTGTACTTCATATCAAGACGCAGCAGGGTGAAGTATGCCTTCATGATTTGTGTATCAGGATTGCAGAAACCATTGCTGGTTGAGAGCTGTTGAGCGAGTGGGGCAAATACACCCTGTTCTTTTGAGTGGCCAGTGGCTACGATGAGACTCACCATATTCTTTGTCCACATCCCATCAGTAATGAATGATGAATCCAAGTCTTCTGACAACTCTGCGAGAGAGCTGACAAGACATTCTTGCAGCAAAGTGCGGAGTGAAGATGTTTTGCCAAAAAGGGACCTCCGGCCACTCATTCTGCAGAGTAATTTCTGGAGCTGATAATGAAGATACAGCATGGAAGGGCAAAGCTGCGTTGAGGCTCTGTCATTTCTCTTAAATACAGTTTGGAAAACTTCACAAAGTTGAGTGATGTCATCATCAAATTTTCTATTGGTTTGCGAATTATCCAGATTGCAAATATTCCACTTGTTGAAAACTTCAATCAGATCCTGTACATTGGGTGTGCCTGATGTTGATTGTACCATTAACAGCTCACAAATTTCCGTTGCAATAGGTGATTTGTATCTGGCCCATTTCTTGAAGGACAAGAACCATTTTCCATCACTGCTTTCACCCATGTTGATGAAAGTGGTTATGTTGCCTGTATCACCATTTGAATTCCTACAAGATATTCACACGGGAAATATAAAGGCAGAGAACCATATTTTTTAGGAAATTGTTTTCACATGAGTTCTATTACCGTATTTTCCGGAGTACATGTATAAGCCGCACTTTAAACACCAGTATTTCACCCCGTAAAGGTCGGTGTGGCGTATAACTACTAATACTTCCGACAAGTGAAAGTTGGCACGCTTTTTTTAGTTTTGTACTGGTACCACAACTTCACAAGGCTGCGAGGTACAACCTACTTGAAGCCAAGCGACGAGCTGGTGATTGGCACATGGCTCGGACTTAGTCAGAGGTACACGGTTTGCTGAGACAGGCCAGTCTCTTGGGTACCAGCACAACGCTGCGCGCTTCCATTCTGCGAAGGAGAAGTGGCGCTTTGCCAATGGTTCAAATAAGAACAAACCGGGTAAAACCTCCACATTGTCAGAATGATGGCTTCCGCACCGCTGAGCGCCCAGGCCTTCCCATATTTTCCTAGGACTCAACGTAATATCACCATTGTTACCGTTAATTGTCGCTCCGTGTCGAACAAAATCCCCAAACTCCATGCATTGTGTCGATCCAACACGCCCACTATCCTATGTCTGACGGAAACCTGGCTCTGCCCGATACACATGCTCAGTGTACCCGGTTATACGTGCTTCCGTCGAGATAGGCCAATACCAGCAAACCATAGAGCCCAGTTCCGAGGATATGGTGGTGTTGCCATCCTTGTACGAGATGGGACATTTTTGCATGCAGCCCAGCGCTCAGACCTTGACTCTCCCCAATGTGAGACGATATGGGTTGAGTTTGGAGTTCCTGCAGACCTGGGTGCTATTCCTATACTCATTGGCTGTTAGTATCGCCCTCCTTCGCAATCCCTGCCTGAACTTACCGCATTTTGTGACATGATGACGGATACCCTATGATCTGTAGACCTCTTATCCATTGATATATTCCTCACTGGTGACTACAATGCTCACAACGCTGACTGGTGGAGCGGAGACGCTACATCACGGGCTGGAGAGGAACTTTCGCATATTAATTATTATATTTTCCTGCTTCGGTATCTCCCAGCTGGTAGATTTTCCCACTCACACCTCTCCTAATGGAACCAACTACAACTAGGCTTGTTTTCTCCTGCGGTTCACGAACCCCACACGGCACTCACTGGCCCGCACGACACGCAGCCAGAACAACACAACCGTCTTCTTCTGGGTCTAGAAAGGTTCTAAGGAATAAATTCATAGAGCTATGTGAAAAATACTAAGAGAAAACACCAACGACCCGGGTCGGCGCAAGCACGCATGCCCAACGACCCCGGGTCGGTGCAGGTACGCATACTACAAGACTGGCACGCGTTCCAGAGTGCAGCTGCACGTGCAGTGCAGCACCGGAAGTCAACCAAAGCAGTGTACAATAATACACAGTGGCGGAACGTGCCGCGCTGCAGAGCGGGCAGGAAGTCATGCAACCAAAGCACCATATAAGTCCAGTGCAGTGCAACTACCGTACAATAAATTACGATGGATTTGTCCAAACAGAGTGGAAGACTACAAGACAACACGCATGCATATGCATCACGCGTACACAAGTGGGCGAGAGACAGAGAGGAAGAGAGAGAGACACCTCACTTCTCTAGCACCCCTCCCCTAGGCATGATCTCTCTCACGCATAGCGAGCGGGGGGACGGACGTCACGACGATCGCGCAGACCGTAGACTTGCCGGCCAGCAATCGGCTCCACGCCGTGCTCGGCAAGTGTGTCATCGCCGTCGGATGGGTCACCAGCCGCGACAGGTTGTGATGGTGAGGGCTTCAGAAGGTCAGCATTGATAACCTTCTCCCCGCCATTCACGTGTCGGATGACAAAGGTCGAGGGGCCCACGACTCTTTTTACCATCCACCCGATCTCGTAAAGCATCTCCTACGTCATAAGCCGACTGTTCAGAGACTTCGACGACAGGATCGGTCGTAGAGAACTCTGCTTTAACGAGGTCACGAACTCGGGCTGTCCGCTCTCCTAGCCGCGTCACCCATGTGCTGAGGCTACACGCCTCCTGATCAGTTGCAACGATGAGATCTCGCGGCAGCCAGCCAGTCATGGCAACCATCGGTGCAACGCCAGTTGCAGAGTGCGGGCGCGTCCTGTAGTAGAGGAGGAGGAGCCTCAGCTCAGACTTCCAGTCAGACGCTTCTAACAGCACCTTCCGCATCAAGGTGATTAGCGTCCTGTTCATACGCTCCGCAGCTCCTTGGGACTGCGGGTGTCGCACCGCTCCGGTTCTGACTTCCACGCCGAACTGCTGGAAGAGGGCATCGCAGATGGCGTTCCTGAACTCCGTGCCATTGTCCATGCGAACGATGTCCGGCGGACCCCAGCGGCAGCAGATCGTCGTGAACGCGGCGGCGACACACTCCGCGTCGTGACGGCGAAGAGGCACAACCTCAGCCCACTTGCTGAACTCATCAATACAGACAAGCACGCAGTTAAATTTGCCGCTCTTCTCCGCACCAAGTTCCAGCGTGTCGATCTGCACAACACTCCACGGGCGGCCTGGGACTTCCGTTCTGGTCTGCGGCGTTGCTGCTCCTCTCTGCCCGCTGGCTGCTCTGCATCGCTCGCAGCTTTGGCAGTGACTCTGGCAGCTCTCGGCGATTGACGGAAAGTAACAGCGACTGCGTAGCATCTCGTACATCGCGCCCCAACTGGCATGTCCAGATGCGCAATGGGCGGCTTTTACGACCTTCGGGACAAGCTTGGTCGGGACCACGGGCACCGCTACCACGCCTTCGACGGGCAGTTTGACGCTTCGGCAGAGGACGCCACCGTTGATCACAAGCTGCTTGCTGACTTTCTTGAACGGACCGGCGATCAACTCAGGCGTGCCAGCCTCGATCAGCTCAGTAGCGGAAGCAATGTCAGCATCAACAAGCTGACCTCTAGTGATCTCTTCTCTGGACACAGGGCCGACTACCGCTGGAACAGTGGCGGCTCCGACGGCGGTTTCCTTGGCTGCCGCTCTCTGACACCTTAACCACTCCGACGGCACGCGGGTCAGCCGGTCGGCCGGGTTATGCTCGGATCGGACCCACTCTAGTTTGACAGCTAAGCCGGTCGACTCAACCAGGTCTTCGATGATTTGAAGGCCGCGCTGGACGAGTACCTTGTGAAGACCGCTCACCTTCACACGGCAGACGTTGCCGATGACTTGTTCCAGCCATCCGAACACCGTCTTCGAATCAGTGATCAGCCGAACTGCCTCCAGCTTCCACTCTGCAGCAAGCGTCAAGCCGCGGAGCGCGGCGTCAAGCTCAGTGACGTTGATGTGCTTGCTGTCGTTCGCGTCTCTCAGCCACGAGCTGTCCTCGATGACCTTGCCGTCGAGCTGCAGGACGATTCCTACTGCCAGGTCAGACGCATCGCAGAACACGGCCCAGTCGCCGACAGCCGTCGACGGGACGTTCCATACGCCATGTACTGGATCGCTGCTTGCGACCTTCGCTTCTAGGTCCTCGCAGCACCGGACGGTAGCGTCGGACACGGCAACATCCCAGTGATCCCCGCGCATGCGAGCCTCTTGAGCCACGCGCAGGCCGGGCGAAGCCAGGAACACACCGGGTAGTGGCTGGTCAGACGTCCAGTCCACTTGAACACGCCACGCTTCGTCAGCGGACGGTCGAAGCTGAGGTCGGCACCGTCGCGGCGTGCCCAGTTGACCACGTCGGCCGCCGAAGTGGACAGCTGTAGGCCAAGCACGCGGGCAGACGGCAGAGACTCGGCAGGCTTAGTCGGCAGGCCATAGCGTAGCAGCTCCGCAGCCACGGCTTCGCGGATCTGCGCCGGCGTCAGGATGTCGTCAACGTAATTGTCGACTCCAGGCCACTTCCGCGTGACCCAGCGCACGATCATGTCCATGAACTTAGGCGCGATGGAGAGACCGAATCCCATGCGCGTCATCACATACATGTAGGACTCAGTGACCAGTCAAGGCCCCGTGACCAATCACGGTCCCCGTGACCAGTCAAACAGTCACAACCCCCCCCATGACCAGTCACAAATTAGTTTACCAGTCACAATGCCCCATGACCAGTCACAAATCACCATACATGTACATGTGTAAAGTACACAGTTCGTGACTGCTCGCAGGGTGCTTCGTACTGCAGGATTTGTTGTGGAAACTATAATTCCCTATGAGTGGTCACAGAATGCAGTTGTGACCACTATAATTCCATGCGAACAGTTACATGCGGAATGTACAGTTGTGACCACTCTTTCTCTGTGAGTAGTCACAGGCAGAATATAGGTATTTCTGTATTACAAGAGAGATTGGAGGCTTTGTCACAACTCTGAGTTTCACGTATTACTACGATCGTCAGGTAACTGATGGCTCCTAAACGGGCAGCCTGAACATAAGAGGGAGCGAGGTGGGACATTCTGAGAGGTATCATAGGCGACGGGTATCATAGTGCAAGAGTCAGGTGCAGGCGTGAAGTTGCCAAGTCTTCAGACTTGGGGCTATGCAGCAGCAGTTCCAGCGTGAATGACATAGAATAGAGCTGGGGACCACACATGCCCAAACCATTACACACACATACACCCACACTCTCTCCCTTTTCTCAGAGTAGAAGAGAGAGAGTTTGAGACAAACACACACACACACACATCCACACACACACACACACACACACACACACACACACACACACACACACACACACACACACACACACACACACCTGGCCTGGTGTACAGCTGCCAAATGCTTGGCCACGCCCCCCCCCCCCGAGAAAGGGGGGGGAGTAGAAGAGAGAGTTTGAGACACACACACACATCCACACACACACATCCACACACACACACACATCCACACACACACACATCCACGCACGCACACACACACACACACACATTCTCTAAATCTCATACACACACATTCTCTTTCTCTCTCACACACACACACACACACACACTCTCTCTCTCTTTCTCACGCATGCACACACACACACACACACTCACACATGCGCACGCACACTTACTCACACACACATACACACACACACACACACACAAATAGGCAGCGGGACTACCAGCTAGATTCACGTGACCTTGCGGACAAAGTTACGGAGGTAGAACTTGTTTTCACGACGACACTTGGACACAAGTACTTCTGCATTTAATATTAATTTATCTCTTTTCAACCAATCCACAAGCCAAGAAGAGATGCGTAGATGGAAGAACCGTACTCTTGGTGATACTGATCGCAAACATGATTAATTCCTCCAGGCCATTGAGCACCCAATTCTAAACCTTATCTAAGCAAAGCAGCATGCCAGTTCAAGAACATATCGTCAGACATACATATCGATACATGTCTGGTGCACTCTCACTAACAAGCAGGCATCGCAGGCTACATTCGCACCAGCAATCAAAAGAAGTTGAAGTGAGTGAATATTTCTATAAAATTAATAATTGGAAGACAAATGAAGGTGTGGAGGATCGCCCAAAAACACTGACAAGGAGACAGTAAACGGTACACAGTACTCGTATGCATGTACTTATACACGTTATAGCAGCACAACGAGAAAGACCATGATGCATAATGTTGCATCAATAAATTTTACAGAGTTATTTTGGGAGTAGAAATGAAGATGTGTTCGAAGCAGTAAACTGCGTAAGCACTACGTTGAGCCACAATATTGAAATACAGTTTCCTGCAGTCAAAACAAGACACTCACAATTCTCTGGTCTAGTTCGCCATTCTTATCGATAAACATGACTTGATTTAATTTCTAACGATGGTCCTTGAGAATGGATCAATGATGTCTTGAATAGATGTCTTCCTGAACGACTTCAACTGAGAGGCAGTTTCAGTTTCAACAAGCTGGACATTGTTTTTCTGTGGAGTCTTCCACAAGAAAGACAGAGCTACACACACGAAGGTGCTTGATGTACTCAGTACCTTCTTGGAAATGAACATATTATTTTCATTTCCATCTTCATTATATTTTCGTCTCTGCATCGTCGACGATGTCCACTTCTGACTCCGTAATCTTGTCACCCATCCTCTCCAAAAACACAAATCGAGTGCTGCTTGCATGCTGGAAGTCAGTCTCTGCTCTAGCAAGATCGGCATACAAAAATTACATGACTGAAAATATTCCGAAATAGCTTTTCTGAACGACTCGACGAAGTTTGTTCTTCAAATATGATGAATAGCACAACCTACTAGCCAGAACGTCCTCTCAAAAGAGATTCTATCTGAAGCCTGCAAGATTTTCGACCACCCTTCATTTTGGAGAGGAGCCCACACACACCAGACTCGAGCTACAAGTAAACTACGAGGAGATCGAGAGTTGATCGAAATCTTTCTTGCTCACTTCTGTGAAGGAAAAAAGTATGCTGAACGCGTGAATGCCTACAGTTGAGTCGTAATATTTTGACGTGGATCCTGTGACCGTTCACAGAGAAAGTCGCGGCAGTTTGTGACTGGTCATCGGGATTCAAACTGGTGTGTGACTTTATGACTGCTCTTCGGGGATTTGTGACTGTATGATTGGTCACGGGGATCGTGATCGGTCATCGAGACGTGACTGCTCACTGAGTCCTACATACATCTTCCCGTTCCACACGACGACTTGATAGCGCAACAGTGACGGGTCAACGTGCACTTGCAGATAGGCCTTGCGGATGTCGACCAGCTGATAATCCGCGTCGCAGCTTGACCGCCATTTCCGGATCTTCTCTGCACAGGCCGGGGCGTCGGTGCCTGGGTTGGACTTGATCAGCGAATTCAGACCACGATAGTCCAGGCAAGGCCTGACGGGCGTGGAACTCTTGTGCTCTTGCGCCTTCGCCAGCAAGGGCAGCACGGCAACAGGCTCGCCATGGACTGCCGGATCGTGCTCAACAAGCCAGCCGTTCTTCACCCAGGAGTCGACCTCGTCACAGAATAGCGACTCCTGCTCCGCCGTGAGCTTGTTCCGCGCATACTGGCCAATGCCGGACCCAACAGGAGCTGTCGGCTGCTGGTCTTTCCACGCCCATGTCAGCATCCAACGCTGTGCGACGCTGTCCCAGCGGACTTGACCGTCATCCGTCGACAGGGTGACGTCATCTCCGTCCTGCTAGACAGTCACACGGCGCGACGGATGCTTGTCGGCGGCTGCGGCTACAACGGCAGGCTCCTTCGCTTGACCAAAGCGCACTCCGTCCAGCACACCATTGTCGTCGTAGCTGAGCTGCACCCCACCAACACCCGCCACAATGTCGGCTCCAATCAGCACGTCGGTGCCAACGACCTCCAGGCTCCGCGTCACGCATGCCACGACAGACACACAGGGTAGAAACACAGGGCCGTCCTGCCGCTGGACGTCAAGGTTGACGGTGCCGATCAGGTCGATCTCGCTACCATCCAGGGCAACCATCCCGACGGACACGTCATCACTGTACGGGATGTTGCAGGCCTGTAGGAACTTCGCAGAGACGAGCGAGTGACTCGCACACGTGTCGACGACGGCCATCGCTCGCGCCCACTCCTGGCCAGGACCGTCGGCAGGTCGGATGTCCATGTACACGCGCGGCAGCGCACCTCTAGACCGTGCAGCAACCGTGCAGAGGCAGGGGTCGTTGTGGCTGCTCTGTGCCGCTGCGTCCTCTCCCGCGGCAGCTGCGCCCCTCTTGCGCGCTAGCCACGTCTTCCGCTCGGGACAGTCCGCCTTGACGTGCCCAACGCCATCGCAGAAATAGCAACTCAGCTGCGTCGCGCCCTTCTGGCGACCGCCACCTCTTGGTCCACCGCCACTCCGTGGTGCACCCCGCTGCAGGTGAGGGCAGTTGCGCCTGATGTGGCCGACTTCCTGGCAGTTAAAACACACTCCGTTTCCAGTGGAGGTGCCGCTCGACTGGGCGCTTGATGCTGGCATCGCAGCAGCCACGGGCTGCTGTACTGACTGACGAGCGTCGGTGGCAGCAGTCCGCAGTGCTCGGATCAGGTCCGTACAGCCGCTCACGGAGTATTCTTTCCCGGCCATGGCCAGCCTCAGCTCGCGCTGAAATTCCGCCGGAAGACCGCACACTATTTGCTCCACGACCATCGGGTCCTTATCATCGGATGCGCCGTGGCCAGCCAGCCCCGCCAGACGCTGCAGATCGGCGATGTAAGCGTCGACGGCCTCGTCCACCTTCAGCCGACGCTGAGTGAAACACTTGTAGGCCTGGGCCTTCGTGATACAAAACGACTCTTGATCTTCGAGACGACTGTGCCCTGGACCTTGCGGTCCGTGGCGTTCAGGCGTGAGTACACCAGGAACGCGTCGCCGTCGAGGAAAAGAGGCAGGCTCTTCATCCTCTTCGTCTCCGTGTCCCAGCCCTGGATACTGGCGAGCACGAGGAACTTCTCAAAAAACCGCTCCCAGTCATCCCCGTTCCCGCGGAACACTCGCAGAAAGTTGTCTAATTTCATCGACATGTTCACTGAGTCCCGGGTTTCGGCACCAGATGTTACGAAACTACAACTAGGCTTGTTTGCTCCTGCGGTTCACGAACCCCACACGGCACTCACTGGCCCGCACGACACGCAGCCAGAACAACACAACCGTCTTCTTCTGGGTCTAGAAAGGTTCTGAGGAATAAATTCATAGAGCTATGTGAAAAATACTAAGAGAAAACACCAACGACCCGGGTCGGCGCAAGCACGCATGCCCAACGACCCCGGGTCGGTGCAGGTACGCATACTACAAGACTTGCACGCGTTCCAGAGTGCAGCTGCACGTGCAGTGCAGCACCGGAAGTCAACCAAAGCAGTGTACAATAATACACAGCGGCGGAACGTGCCGCGCTGCAGAGCGGGCAGGAAGTCATGCAACCAAAGCACCATATAAGTCCAGTGCAGTGCAACTACCGTACAATAAATTACGATGGATTTGTCCAAACAGAGTGGAAGACTACAAGACAACACGCACGCATAT